AACAGATAGTTGAAAACAGTCCCATGACATTTTACAGCCTGGAAAAATATCAATTTTCGTTTTGTATCTTGTTTTTCTCCGCTTCTGAAAATCCGCAAAGGAAACTTTACAATGAAATTTGTAGTTTATAATGTCTATTTTCCAATGTACTTTACAATGTTGCCAAAATGTTTGCATTAACGGCGACAGATTGTTGAAAACAGTCCTATGACATCTTAAAGCCTGGAAAAATATCAATTTTCGTTTTGTATCTTGTTTTTCTCCGCTTTTGAAAACTTGCAAAGGAAACTTTACAAATGAAATTTGTAATTTATAATGTCTATTTTCCAATGTACTTTAAAATGTTGTCAAAATGTTTCCATTAACAGATAGTTGAAAACAGTCCCATGACATTTTACAGCCTGGAAAAATATCAATTTTCGTTTTGTATCTTTTTTCTCTCCACTTCTGAAAACCCGCAAAGGAAACTTTACAAAGGAAATTTGTAGTTTATAATGTCTATTTTCCAATGTATTTTTCAATGTTGCCAAAATGTTTCCATTAACGGCGACAGATGGTCGAAAATAGTCGCATCTACAATTCTACTGCAAGTCTATGAGAGTTTTTCTAGTTAAAAACATTATAACAACAGTAAGGACCAGTTTATCAGTGGACGGTTTTCTAGTTTAGCTGTCGGTTAACCAATGATAATTATTAGTTAACGAACAGTTAAACTGAATAACCGTCCACTGATAAACCGGTCTTAAATGTCAAAAATATAGCGATTTCATTTCATACGTATTTATAGGTTGGCCACTGAAAAAAGAACATTATGGTCTGAGGTGAAGGGGGAGGAAAAAACGGTGTGAAAATGCACAGTTGCAATGGAATAAAGCGTGATAGAAGATAGAAGTATTAGTTTGCAAATTTGCCGCTGTTTAATTCTCGCTGGTTGCCCTTTAGTCGCGGATTACTGAATAAGGTAAGTATACTTTCCTAATACCTACAAATTTCGATTTACAAGAGCCGGGGATGAAATTGCCACGCTTTCCTAGGGGAATATAATTTTCATACTTCTATTCCTCAAAATTAAGTTTTAAGGCTGGAGGATTGGGATTTCCAATCTTTTTTTTGGTAAATTTTAGCTCTAGAGTTCAGAGTTCTATATTTTTCTAGTTTTGGATCTACGAGAGCCGAGAATAAGAATTCCACGCTTTCCTAGTGGACCTTAGAATACAATTTTCATATTCCTTAAAATTGAACTTTAGGGCCGAAGGATTGGGATTTTCAGTCTATTTTTTAATAAATTTTAGCTCTACAATTCAGTAGTTTTATACTTTTCTAGTTCAAATTTGGATTTACGAAAGCCGGGAATAAGATTTCCACGTTTCCCTAGGGAACCTGATAATTTGATATTCATAGGTACTTCTATTCCTCAAAATTAAGCTTTAAGGTCGAAGGATTGGGATTTCCAATCTTTTTTTTTTTGGTAAATTTTAGCTCTAGAGTTCAGAGTTCTATACTTTTCTAATTTTGGATTTACGAGAGCCGGGAATAAGAATTTCATGCCTTCCTAGGGGACCTTAGAATACAATTTTCATATACTTTTATTCTTCAAAATTAAGCTTTACTTAGGGCCGAAGGATTGGGATTTCCAATCTTTTTTTTTTTTTGATAAATTTTATCTCTACAATTCAGAGTTTTATACTTTTCTAGTTCAAATTTGAATTTACGAGAGCCGGGAATAAAATTTCCAGGCTTTCTTAAGGCACCTGAGAATACAATTTTCATACTTTTATTCCTCAAAATTAAGCTTTAGAGCCGAAGGATTGGGATTTCCAGTCTTTTTTTGATAAATTTAAGCTTAAGAATTTAGAGTTTTATACTTTTCTAGTTCAGATTTGGATTTATGAGAGCCGGGTATAAGATTTCCACGCTTTTCTATGGAATCTGAGAATACAATTTTCATACTTCTATTCCTCAAAATTAAGCTTTAACGTCAAAGGATTCAAGGATTGGGATTTCCAATCTTTTTTTTTTGGTAAATTTTAGCTCTACAAATTAGAGTTTTATACTTTTCTAGTTCAAATTTAGATTTACGAGAGCCGGGAATAAGATTTCCACGCTTTTCTGTGGAACCTGAGAATAAAACTTTCCTAAGGAACCTGAGAATATAATTTTCATACTTCTATTTTTCATAATAATTAAGCTTTAAGGCCAAAGGATTGGGATTTCCAATCTTTTTTTTTTAAAAAAATTTTAGCTCTAGAATTCAGAGTTTTATACTTTTCTAGTTCAAATTTGGATTTACGAGAGCCGAAAATCGAAAAAAAAATATACAAACCTTAAAAGGGTTCCACAATTTTTTAACCAATTATTTTAATGGGTTGTGCAGTAAAACATCGAATTGCAATCGGGAAGAGGGAAAAATATATCCATTGTAAACACACACATGTGTTTGCTTTTAGGGGAGAGGTGCATTGATTGGTATTTATTTGTGTGCTGGAATAATCATGGAATAGATAAATCAATGCATTTATCTTCTGGTCCACAGTAACTAGTAACTAGAATATAACATTTAAGTATAGAAGAAAAATATTGATCTTTAAAACCTATAGGCAAGATGCTTTTTTCCTTTATTTGTTTCTCTCAATTTAATTATTAATGTGATGATTTCCAAAAAAAAAAGAGACTAATAAGTAAAAACACTTTTTCCAAGAAAATATAACCGTACATGCAAAATAATTATAAAATTCCATCGCCCCATCAAAGCGAGCCAATTTAACTAAAATCACTGTGCAATCAATTCATCATCATCACGAACGCATTTTCCCTTACGCGGATTTTTCCTATTCCGTAGCTTAAACATATATAATTAGTTTTTATATAGATCCATCCTGCTTCGATTCTCGATTAAGCCAAATCGAGCAAAAAGGAGTAGCCCCAGCGCTACTTTGAGTTTAATGTACTTAATAATTAATCTCCGAGTCGATGCAAAAAAAAAAAAACTATTAAAATCGAAAAGGAGTAACAAAAGTAGAGCAAATAATAACATATCTGATTATTGCAGATAACTAGATTCTTTATCTATCTTTAATAGGCTATCTACATATTGGATAGTTATAAAATGCAAATCTCGAGGATGTAGATTTAAATTGAAACAGAGAATTATTAGGCTTCGTGCACTTTTTTTGTTTTTGTTTATTACTTAGCGGTATTTTATTAATTATAATTTTTTTTTTGTTTGTAATGTTATTTAATTAAAGGTTTGGTGTTTTGTAAGTGCCTATGCATCAAGCATTTTTGAGTTGAAATTTGGCAAATTGTTCTTTAGATTTATATCGTTATACCTACAGTTTTGTATTTGTTCACCCAAGCCTCATACAAGTTGAAATTGGTGGATGAAAACTCATAAACAGAATAAATACATAAAGTACCAAATAAAACAAAAATAAACATGTACCTGGTACCTATTGAGTCAAGATTAATAATGATATTTAGGCTGAAAAGTGAGATTCCTAATTTGCATGAAATAAGACTCTGAATATTATGCTACTGAATCTCCATATTCAGAATTATTGGAATACCTGACTCGAAGAAAGACAAAGACATTTTGTATTTTGATAAAACTACAACTTTTCCAATAATTGTAATTAAGAAAGGGAAATTAAATTTCAGACAATGGAAATTGTAATTCAAAAAAGGAAGTTAAGTACTGATCAGCATTATACAAATTAAAATTCAGAAGAGGAACATGATAGTCAGAAATGGAAATTTGTAATTCAGAATCGGAATATTGTACCTATGTATTTCAGAAAGGAGAAATTAAATTTTAGAAAATATTCAGATAGGTACCTATGCAATTCTAAAAATCGAAAATAGGAAAATGTAATTCAAAATTGGTAACATGTAATTCAGAATCAGTAATAACATATTATTTTATATGTTATCTATTCCCTGTTAGCGTAACATAACAGATTTGTGTTAAGTATAACTTAAACGTTCAATCATAGGACCAAATTATCTTGGCTCTTGATTCATTAGAAATATTTTCTAGTGTACCAAATTTCAGTTTCAATCCAGATTTTCAACTATTATGGGCTCTTGAAGCCTAAGTTAAATTTTCAAAATACATATTTATAATGGTAGGATTCATTTAATAAAAGCACAGATTTCTGTAATACTTAAATGAATAATTTTTTGATCGGCTTCAGGTTTTGTTTACTGGATGTCATCCCAGTAGCAGTTTATTTTTGAATAGTTTCCGTTTTTATTTGGCGCGAAGGTTTCAAATCTTTATGCCTCTGTTCTATAGATGCCGCTAGTGACGATCTGTTGCTCCTAATTGTCGTATTTTCATCCTAAAAGTTTCATAATTTTCCTTTTACTATTTTCAAAAAAAAATATTGAAATGTTATTAAAGGATGTATTTTTTCAAATTCAAACTATGAAAGTTGATTTTCAGGAATTTCTCATGCTGTGATTTTTTATTGGAAAAATCTGGAATTTTAGTATGATGAGCTCCCAAATTGTCTTCTTTTTATCCTAAAAGTTTCAACATTTTCCCTTTTCTAGTTTTTAAAAAAAATAATAAAATGTGCAAGGTTGTATTTTTTCAAATTCAAACTACATATAAAAATTGATTTTCAGGAATTTCTCGTGTTATGATTTTCCATTAGAAAAGTCTGGAATTTTAGTATGATGAGCTCCTTAATTGTCTTCTTAAATATTAGAAGTTTCAAAATTTGCCCTTTACTATTTACATCCATGTAACGTTTATTGAAGTTGTGACATTTGTATTAGAGAAAAACAGTGACTTTTTCAAAACGATCGTATACATTTTTATGATGATTTTTTAAACATTTCTGTGCTATAAGGGTGACGAATCAGGCCACTAGATAACTTTGTCGCACTTTTTTTCCAGCAATATTTCTAATTATTTCAAGCTTTTTAAGTACTTACACCTGTTAAAAGATCATTTATTTTAAACAAATCAGGATAGTCGTATATATAACATTCAAATTACCTACAGTTTTATTTAAGTTTCGAAAACAATTCAATAACCAATTACTTGAATAAAGGACAAACAGCGAACAAAAGAGCAACAAATCCATCAACAATCAAACAAATTAGTATAGAAATAAAAACAAATTATCAAATATCCATGAGTATTATTTCTAACAATTCTGTGGGCGTTATACAAGTGGAAATTCATGAAAACATAACGGATAATCTGGAAAAGCGATCGTGAAAATCAATAATACGGCGTTTGTGCAATGTCGCACAAAAATTGCTTCGTAGGAAAAACATATGTTTTCCTTCTTGTATGGGAAAAGCTTCTAAGTTTTATTTAACAATATTATTATTGTAATATGACACTAATATCTCTTGCAGCAGATTTTTATTAGAAGTAAGTATTTGTATACTTATTTTGTAGTATGTACAAGTAGGTATCTATAGTATTATTTTTTAGATGGTCCATCATAAGACTGCAACTTATTCAGGAATGAATTTAAAAGGTGAATTAAGAGAGAGCATCTCCTTGGACGATGACGATTTGAGCGACGTTGAAGACGAAGTCTTCATAAGGGATGGAAAAAATGGATACAAGGTAACCAATAAAATTATTCATCAGATAATCATTAATTTGTATATGTTTTTAGTTGGCCGAAGATCTGAACGTAAAAAGGCCGTTAATGGCCCCGAGAAGAAAACACGGAAAACATGAATCCAGATTAAAACCGAGGCCCAGTTGCAGGGCATTGTGCAAACCATGCTGCTACGTTTTAGCTTCACTAAGCATTTTGATAGGTTTAATAGTTTTAGTTGTTGTCCTAGTATCAATTTACCCTGTGCCGTTAGACAAACTCAGAGATTGGATTATTTCTAAAGCTAAAACGTCACAAGATGGGTCTAAAGGCAACTTGCCTTGCACTAGTTTTAAAGTGAGTAGTATTTGGGCTGTAAACTTACCAGCGCTTACTACAGAGTCGCCTGTAAGGGCTTTGGATGTTGATGGTGACGGTATTGAAGATGCCTTGTTTGGATTTGGAACTGGTAATAATACATTCATCATTATTTGTAATTCTATAATTCATGTATATTTCTAGGCGACAACTATAATCTGTTTGCACCAGATGTGTTTTGTCCGATATTCCTTGGAGTGTCGACACCGTGTGAAGGAGGTTTGATAGCTCTAAACGGGAAAAATGGAGATGTAATTTGGAAGCGGTGGCTTAACGATACGATTTTTGGGCTGCATTGTAATGCTGACATTAATTTAGACGGTGTTGGTGATTGTTTAGCTGTAGGAGTCGGTGGGGTAAGAATTATAATATATTTCTGTAGTAGTCAAAAACAAAACAAAAAAAACCGAATTCACACTTTGACTTTTGACTCTATAGTCCTCTCACCATGAATTTGCGTTGACCTGAATTGCGCTCTCCCTATTTCTAAGAAATATAATTATTTGTTCGACTGAAGATGTCGCAATTTCCTTGATTATTTGGGTCAATGGATCGATTTTCAGACCTCACTAATCATTTCGCCAGTTGTTAAATCTCCAAAACACCTACCTAGTGATTCCGGATACTCAAAGAAACTGGCTGTTCACAGACGCACCCTCCCAATGAGAAATATATAAGAATAAACTGAAACTTTTATTTTATAATACTTACAACTCCAAAAATTACAATGACAATATTGACAACAAACCTTGAGGAACGCAGAACTTCTATTTTAGTGACTCAACATGTGACTTCATCTGGGGGCTTACTGATTCGACCACTTCTTGTCGTAGTAACTTTCTTCTTTACTTCGTCACAATTGTTTAGGTATGTTATTATATTTGACCTCTCTTGGTAAGAATACTCTTACCCTCTTAGGTCGAACTGGTCTCTTCTTTTAAAATGGTTGTAGTTTCCTGGATGAACTCTGATCCAAATGGCATTCATCCTTAACACTAGTCACTAGCTACTACCTTATATCTGTAATAACACCGATTTTGTGTATGCTGAATCTTTGCAATATCGCCGATAGATATCAGTTCAATCAGGGCGCCGGTGGCGAAAAAACTTCTCCAGAAGCCACGCCCAAAAACGTTTACCAGCATTCTTTAATTTACATTCGGACGAGTGTCTAAGAAGGGAATGGTAATACATTTCAAACAACGTAGTTCACACCTTTACATATTTGTTTTCCAGCTGCGGGAGCTAGTGTTGCTTGGTGCTTGCGTAAGTTTTTTGCGGTGTCTGCTAAAATTGGAAAAAAATTACGACTATAAGGGTAAAGAGTAGAGTGTTTTCACAGCTATCAGAACAATACCCACTTTTACCACGTAAAAGCCCCCCTCCAACATAGCCATCATAGCCCACCATTAATCTATTTTCAAAAGGCGCCGCCGATCTAGAGATTTTCCCACGGTATCGAAAAACTTCCTAGGCTCAAGTCAGACTAGCAGATTCACAAGCAAAATATTTATTATTGCAATAAAATTAATGCACCTGTTTATGACCAATACCCACCTCACAGCTATCAGAGCAATACCCACCTCCACTAAGTCGAAAAGCTTTTACTCTGAAGAGGTACCTCTTTCCATATCCCTTCACTTTCTTGAAAACTAATGAATATTTCAACAACTCCTGCATTTGTATTCGTCAATAGTCAACTCCATTGCAATAATAACATTTTGCTTGTGAATCTGGTGGACCACTTACGTAGTAGAGGTGGGTATTGGTCTGATAGCCGGGGGCACTTGAGCCTGGGAAGTTTTTCGATACCGTGGGAAAATCTCTAGATCGGCGGCGCTTTTGATCTGAAATTTTGGGGATTTGACCCGGGCCAACCCCAAAATTGACGAATTCGAATACAAATGGAAGAATTGATTGATATCAACTGCCAGTACTGGATTTACTGTGCTGATTTTACTGTCATTTGCCGTTCCAATTTCAACAGGGTACTCTTGTGGTCATTCAGTACTGAATCGACTGAATCCAGTGTACCTACTGAAAATAATATCGGAACGGCGTCCAGTAAATTCAGTACTGACAGAGTTAATATCGGAACATAACCTATATAAGGCTATGGTCCAAATATAACCAAACGTTAGCCATTAGCTCTGTTCCAACAGACATGAGAACCGTTCCAGAACCAATAATTTCCAGTTGCCCACCTATTTTTCAATAAGTTGAACGTTTTTCCTAATTGACAAATGGATTGATCGACTGGAAATTACCGTTCTAGAAAGGTTTTCATGTCTGCTGGAACAGAGCTAAAGTAACCGAATCGGTCAACAGATGTTTACTGAAAATTCCGGTTACTTTGGGGAACGCAAATATGGAAATAAAACATAATTGACAGAAGTTACAGATAAAATCTTGATAAAACCAACAGAACCGACATCCGATAGCCGGTAACTATTTTGACATTTGGTTAACCAGATTTCAGGAACCCGAGGTACAAAATTGACCAGTTTTCCAGGAACTAGAGAGGATTATCAGTTTTTAAGTCTATGCTCGTGGGTGCTTCGCACCCACTGTTTAGGTCTCGTGGGTGCTCGAACCCCCGAGCACCTACGTAGTCGGCGCCTCTGAGTTCAATTAGTCAATTCAAACCTTTTTCTAAATACTGGTTGGGTGATGGGTATCCTTTTTCATGTGCTGTAGCATCAAACACTGGGTGTATCTTTGTTGTCATACTAGAGAGCTTAACAACTGGATGATGTGGTAGAAAATATCCTGTTTTCTTTGAAACACCTAATGTTAATGATGACTTTTCCACCGATAAAGAGATTAGTTCTGAGTTTTATGCATTCTCTTAGGGTATTTCTATGAGACGCTCTCATCGCTGTCCATTTTCAGACTTCCCACAAATAACAACATCATTTCCCCAGTGGATTTTAAATTCTCACTGAAATACCATCTTCTTACTGAAACGTAGATTTCTCTGGACAAAACTTAGAAGACTACTTTGCTAATGTAATATTTTCATCAGTTGGCGATCATTTGATTGTTGATAATGTCAAACTTCTTGGTTATCCATTTCTAGACTAGACTCTGTATCTGATAGACTAGTACTCTCTAACTTGAAATTATATCAAAATGTAGCTCTTGGAATTATAACAAATTTCCTTTCAGACAATTATGGTAATAGATTCGAAAACAGGCACCGACATATGGCGTCTTAACCCAGGCAAAACCAACGTATTTGTGGCCAATTTCATCCAAGACCAAAACAATGACAACATTACAGATGTAATAACATCCCATTCCTTATTACAAGGTATACATTTTTTCAAATAAACTTCTTATTGTCTTGAATGTTATTATTTGCAGATAAAACCTTTGGCCATGTGCTGATTCTTTCAGGCAAAACGGGTCAGGAATTGAAAAGAGTCGACACACCAAAGACTTTTTTCATGCCTCAATTGCTTCAACAAAACAGCACCTCGACTCTAGTATTATTTGGTACAGGAACTCCTAATGCTGCAGGAAATTTGAGCGCAATTGATTTAAATAATAATCAATCTATTACCCTTTACGAGGATAAATTTAAAGGCATTTTGACTCAAGCAGTTTTAGTTGACATCACTGGCGATAATATTGCCGATGTAGTTTCGTCAATGTACAACTCAACTATTGTAGCAATTGATGGTAAAACTTTCAAAACAATTTGGAATTATACTATTCCTAATGCTGTAACTGATATGAGCCCTACTCCAGCTTACTTCAATTGCGATAATATCACTGATTTTTTAGTTGTTTATCAGAAATACGATAGTATTTTTAATTATAATTACACACAGGTAGGTAATAGATGAGCCAATTGATGAAGTTTAATGAGTCTTATTTTAGACGTTAATCATTGACGGATTCACAGGTCAACCGATTTACCAGCCAATGAGTGGCGGAATCGTCACTCAGATGAGCGGTTTAACTTTGAGCATGGAAGGAAAAGGGCACGATATTTATTTGTTTTGGACTAGCGAGTGTTCGAATAATGAAGCCAGTCAAGTAGATGTTTCAAAGAAAACTGGTAAGCAAAAAGATTCCACAAGTAGAAGAAGAAAGTTCTAAGATTGTCCATATGGTCCATATCTACCCGGGAATAGACAACAATTGAAACGGAAAAACTAAGAATTAACTAGAGAATAAATGTAAAAAAATTGAAGATAAAAGGACATTCATGTTTTTTTTTATTCCAGGCTCTTGAATTTTTTCTATTTGGAGAAACTTATAGACCGTCAGATAGTGACATATTTAGGTGCCCCCTTTTCGCATACAAGCCTCGAAGAAGGTTGGAAAGTGCATCAATTTTGAGTAGGATGAAGGTATTTTCACGGGTATGGCTCCTGAGGATAACGTATAGAAAATTCGATTTTCCATAACAGAAATGGAAGATGTCCTGGTGTCCATATTTTCTCGCAAGCCGTGTTCACCAAAGGATTAAATAATGAAACCTGGCTTCGAGAAAACAAAGACGGGGGTGTTGCAGGTGGCTAAAGGTTTGAAATAAGGGCGTAATCTTGTAAGGAAAAATCGAGATTTTGGGCTATTTTTCCACATAAGCCCATTGGAAGAATGAAAAACTACAAAATTGGTAGAAAGAAAACATATTGGCTTGAGTGTCGCAAATGGAAGAGTACATTTCACAGTAACATAAATAAAATCGAATTTTCCATATGTTATCCCTAGGAGCCACTCGTGAAAACATGTTCATTCTACTCAAAATCGATATATGTAGGTACTTTTCAACCCTCTTCGAGGCTTGTATGCGAAAATGGGGCACCTAAATATGTCACTATCTGACGGTTTATTAGAAGAAAACAAAAATTCAAGAGCCGGGAATAGACAAAAATTGAGAAATAAAGAAATAACATTTGACAACACCGCCATCTACTATATATGTAATGACGTCACAACATAATAGCCATTTTGGATTGTGAATTTTTTTGATATTTGTAATACGATATTTGCAAATATGTAGAATATAAAGTATTCAAAAAAAATATATATATACATAATTCAAATATGTGCCAGTAGCTTCGTATATTATATTATGACTGACAAGTTTGTACAACCAATGACAAAGGACATACCAAAGTTGCCACATTGTTCAATTTGTCTTCTGAGCTCACAATAATAAGGAATCATTTGCATTTGCAATAAATACCTACATTTCAATAGCTATTGACAATTTGCTTGTATGCATTTTAACAAATTCCTTGCACTGTTGTCAGCTCATTCAAAATTTATTATGTTTTAAGCAAAGGAAGATATTTGAATGATAATTAAATTATCTCTATATCCGACAGGAGAATACTCGAAAGTCCACGATGAATGCAAAAAACAATTCAACTCAACCACCATACTAAAACTAAATGGATTAAACGAGTATCATCAACCTCCTGGTATCGCCATTTACAATTCAGGTACTTAAATCTACCATCATATCGTACCATATATTAATCTAATTTCAAACAAATTCAGCTTCAAACATCTTATTCGAGTACAACAATACAAAATCGCCGATAAAACTGCTTAAAGACTACCTTGAAACACATCCGATCAATTCGGGACAAGCGGAAATAATGTCCAAAATTTACAATGGAGATCCAGGAATTGGCATCATAAAATATGGAAAGTCAAATTTCAGGCACAAGGATAAGCCTAATGATATTGTCAAGAATTTCAATGTGCCTCAGGAAAATGACAATAGTTTGCCCAATAATATGCCTATTTCCGAGGTAAGAATTGTCCTACATCAAAAACATTCATTTCTATGATTACATTTTTAGGAACAACCCATTGACTACAACATCTGGATGCCAAACCAAGAAGAACTGGATTCAGAATTTTCAAATTACAATCTGGCTGACGACAACATACCATACAATCAAAAGCAAATGTTATTTGACGAAGTCAAAGTAGACGATAACAATAGAGACCCTAGAAGCAAACAACAAAACCAAAAAGGCCCGATTTCAAAAAAGAAAAACTTGGCAGACAAAATTTACGGTTACCACAATCTCCGGTTGGCTAAAAAGCGGTTGTTGCACGACGACGAATCATTGCCAACCGATATTATCAAAGACACTTATTTCAAAAACGAAGAAGCTCGTTTAAGGAAAAACAAGTTGGAACAGCGTGACGTCAATTCGCATCATTCGATGGACATTGAAAAGATTCTAGAAAACCAAAAAAGAGAGGCGTTATTGTTGAATCATTCAACCACTCTATGGGACATTGAAACTGAAAATGAATTAGGAGAAAGAGACAATCAATTATCATATTTTAGACGAAAAAGGCAGGCCAATATTGCCTGGAATAGTGTTTCAAAAGTGACATCAGTAGGCGCAGTCCTGAGTGCCTTTAATTCATCAAACTCTTCAATTGATGTTGTTTTTGTGAAATATTGGCAACCTTTAGGAATGAGCTTGCAAGATTTGATGGCTGAGGAATGCATAAATGATAAAAAATCAGAACAAGAGTGTCAAGATGAACAAAACAGGTTGAGGAGAAGTTTTGCTGATTTTGAACGATTGGCTCAATTAAAATTGGGCCAAATGACTGTATACAGAATGAGGATACAGTGCAACTGTGACAGCAGTTATGATAAAGAGATTAAGGAAAAATGCGTTAGGTTTTTGCCTAAAAATGCACAAGGCTGGTCCGAATATTTAGGCAGAAATGGCGATGGAGTTTTCACAAGATAAATCATTAATTGTATTAAATAACTACTTACTGTAGTCTATTTAGTAGTATTTTTTGTATATTTATATCTACATACTTGAAACTTTTATCTATTTTCCTATAATGCGTTAGAGTTTGCCAATATTGTTTCAAGAGGATTGAATTAATGATTGAAACATAGTTTTTTTTTTTGAAATTTAAGTTGATCGATTGAGGCTGTGTTAAAGCATCCAAAATATTCTTGCAGTAGACACTCTTTTATACTTATAAACATTTTCACAATCAATAAAATTAATTTAGTTTATACATAGTAGCAAAAATTGTATATTTAAACAAAATGAATTTAAGTAAAATTAAATTTAATTTAACAAAGGCTTTAATTTGAGCCTAATTACGTTAAGATATCGGATTGAAATAATTAATGAAATCTGTAAGGCAAAATGTGTGTCAATGTCATTTTGGAAAAAAAGAAAGTTCTACCATTTTAGAGTTGTAGTTGAGTTGAAAGATATATTAGGTGCGACTAAAGTTTGTCAGATGTGGGTGAAACTAAAGATTGGAAATAGTGATGGAAAGTGCCGCAAAGTTACCTATCCAGTCAGTGGCCTGATTTATTATAACTTAATCCTAATACCACACAAATATTTAGGACCGGTTATGTAATTTAGCTGTTGCTTAACTAATAATTTTCATTGGGTAACTGACAGCTAAACTAGATAGCCGTCCACTGATAAACCGGTCCTTAAAAACTTATCCGATCGGAACGTCAGAACGTTTTGAAAACATCACTGAGAACGTGTCCAATGAACGTTTTTCTCTAATGCAAATTATCACAATGTGAGACCCGAAATTCAGAAACTTGGCAAGATGTTAAATTGGCGAGCGGTGACTTTAGTTTCTGAGTGGAGACCACTGATCTTATTTTATTAAAATAAATAATGCTTGTTATTAAATAACAGGTGTCGGTGATAAATAATCTTACAATAAAATTATTCGATCTCTAATAAGCATCAATTAACTCTTAAGGAAAATTCATGTTTCCAAGTAAAATTTTAATTTACAGTTTGACTCGACTCACACTCTTGCCTTCACAATTTCTGGCTGAAAACTTACATTTAAAAATAATATATTTACTGCTGGCCACACCTAATTACATGGAAATCTTATTAGTCGAAGGAATTTACTTTAATTATGAACAATTAATAAAAAACTCAAATATTTTTGCGCTGTTATTTCACGTCGTGCTTCTTCTCTCGGTTAATTCGACAACTCTTTCACGCCGTAGTTCTGACTTTCTGGACACAGGTCTCTCGATTCTCGATTACTACTTGTTTCTTGATTACTCAACCGACACTGGACTGGTCCTTCACGCCGTAGTTCTGCCGGTTTACTCGCTCTTTCTCGAACAATGGTTTTCTCGAACACTGATTCTCTCCTGCCAAAGTTGTCTTTTTATATTATTATATAAAGCCTATTGTCTTGAATTTCTTTATTGTTTCTGACCTCGATTTTTCGTGGTTGAATTATCCGATCAATTAGTGTATTTGGTCCCTTTTTAATTAATTATCAAGGGCGTCGTTAAGTAGTTTGTTAAGTGGGAATCATCATATAGGCTCGTGCATGATTTATTGATCTTTTTAGAAATGTTTCGGTTCCTTTGGAATGTTAATTGTTTAAAAAAAAGGTCCATGAACTTTCGCTTTATTCACATTCCAATGTATTAGTCAATATAGGGTATCGGCTTTCAATAATTTCTGGATATCGATGTTCAGATAAATTTTAATTGAAGTTTCAGGTTGTGCTGTCTAAGTAATGATCTCTCCTGGGATGGTTGTTTGGTAACTCTTTGTTATTCTTGATTAAAATTTCTGTAGTCACTACAGTGTTTATCTTGATGGTCATACAAAAATTTGCTCACTACTCTGAAGAGACAACTTCCATCTCCAACAATATCCACTCTCAGGGAAGGTTGTTGTTTCTTGTTACTGTTTTTTTTTTTTTAGATTAAGATTGTAGGTTTTTGAATGACAGTAGTCCGCGTGTTCAGCTTCCTGTCATCGTCGTCCCGCAAGCTGTCGAGTTTAGCGTCGGCTCCAAACCCGACCTGGCGATCCCCAGGCAGCGACTTGTTTACATTCTAATTATTCATTATTCACCATATTTTCATAGGGTCCTGTTTAACGAAGGGGATACGGTATTTTTGTCCTACTGCCAGGTGACTCGGATCCGTGGGGGTGTCGGACCCCAAGGTAGTCCGACCGAGGTCAAACTATCTCCCGTGCGGGGTTTGGTTTCTTGATTGAGGATTTCGGGCTAAGATTACCAGATAGACCCGAGGAAAGAAAATGTTAGAGGAATTTGAGGATCTGGGAAGGATTACAGCATGAAATTGGATATTGGATAACTAGGGGAGTTAGGAAACGTTAGGTAAGTAGACAGCGGACAGCTGGCGCCTGTTATTATTATTATTATTATTATTATTATTATTATTATTATTAATATTATTATTATTATTAATATTATTATTATTATCCATTGAGCAATAGGGATTTTCAAGGGGCAATACTACCCTTAGGAATTCTTTGCCAAAAATGTGGGGAATTCGAGGGAATTGGGAATTTATGGAAAATTGGACAAAAACAAAATTAGGGGATACTGAGCATGATAAAAATAGAGAAATACATTTTCTATCACAATCACGAGTAATTTTGGTGATTTTCAGGGAATTTGCAGGAAATTTGGAGGAATTTTTGGGGTATTTGGAAGAATAATTTGTGTAGACTTTGGACGAATTTGCGACAAGTGAGGAATTTTGAATAAAAAGTTTGCTTTTGAGGAATTGTTTACACAAATTTGGGGGGCGGTTTACCCGAGGGGTATTTCACTGAAGTTTTTTTGTATCTACATACCTATATTGTGCAATACTCAGATATTGCGAGAGTATTTTGAACTATTATAACCTATTGCCAAGGACGTATATAAGGGGGGGTTTTGGGGGTTCAAACCCGCCCCATTGAATTGAAAAAATTAGTTGTTTTTGAGAAAATTGGGCGTGGAACTTGAAAAAATTTTTCGCCTTCGGCTACTATATCCTCCGGCGTTTATGCCAGGTTACCTATACAGCATCTGCTCTAAAATTGAAACCCTTTCCAGCATAGACCAGGAGCTGCCACTACTCTAAACCCCTCCCTTGGGCCCCTTGTGAAAGCTATAGCTACGTCGTTGCCTATTGCCCAATGATTCTAGATATTGCAAACCATTGTGATTATTGTGAACTACTTATTGTAAGTTATTGCAGTACATAGGTATTCCCTATTTCTTTAAACTTTTATATTTTTCTTTTATATTATTTAAATCTTTATGATCTCAAATGGATGAGATCATCAATTTCATCTTTTCCAGGCCATCTAAACTGGCATACGTTCAATTTTAGAAACTTCACTTTGCTTTTCTTGTTATCTGTATGCAGTACCAAGCAGTATCATCATAATATAGATACTGCATAGTAATATTTAGGTCGAATATATAGTTTTTCTCCTTCATATTATTTATTACTCCTATGTTATAAAACTTTCATTTTCGAATTCATTTTCACTTGTGTGAATATCAGAGTTGTCTGTTTTTCCAGCAAAAAAACAACATAGAGTTAACTTTCTTACTGCTTTGACTTTCTGTTTTTTTAAATGTATTTTTAAAAACCTTCCATTGTTCATATCTGTTACCTAAGCATTGTATAATCTTCAACATTAAAAGCTACCCTCTGTTTGTTCATATAATTTTTTAAGAAAGTTGAGCTTCTCTGGTTCTTTGCCATCACAACATCATTATCAATTTCTTCCTGAATAGCCTTAAATGAGTCAATCAAATTGAGTTCATCTTTGTTGAAAGTGGCGTTAAGTTCAGAGTTAATTATTGTTTATGGGATAGTATGTCCGTCAAAACAGTTAACTGTATAATCTCGGATATTGTCTATTCCGAACATCTGAATAACAGTGACGCAAACACGAGACCAAAAAGAGGGACCGTAGGAAGGAGTGATGGAACAGGGTCCTCATTTTTGAAACAGGCAAGCAACGTTCCCAGGAGAACGTGTGTGTTCCGTCTTTCACAATGATATGCGAATGATAATATACCTATAATTAACAAAGACGGAACACTTCTCCTGGAAACGCTGCTCCCCTGTTTCAAGAATAAAGGCTCAGGAGGAATTAAAAGACAATCCCCCCCTTATATTTTACACTTGTTTTATTTTCCTACACTCGTAAGTTAAAGTTATAATAAAGTGCAACAAAAATTAAAATCCGTATTCAAATTTATACCCAACGAGTGATAGACGCTTTTGGTAGAGAGGTAGTTGAATGCGCATGCCATGTGCATTTGTGTCCCAAAGCAAAAATTAAATATATAGCATGCTACTGCAAAAATATTCCATATAACTTATCAAATATAAGAAAACCATACACTAAAACACAACAATCTAACAGATAATGTCAAGGATTTTCATCGACTAGAGTATAAAAATTAAAGTGGAAAAACTACTGCGATAGTATTTTAGATTATTGTAATGATATTGTCAACTATTGCGAGCATATTGTAGACTATTGTGAGAGTATTGCAGGCTATTGTGAGAGTATTGTAGACAATTGTGGAACATTGCGAATTGTTGTAGACTACTGCAAAATATTGTGCACTATTGCAAGGTAGGTATTGCATTCTATTGCCAGGCATTGTGAGCTATTGAGAAATTACTGTCGCAATATTATACCGAAATTTGTACATATATTGTGACCAGTGAAATACCCTTTGGGTTTACCCCTTGTGTCCTTGACTTATTTGACTTTATCTCAATTTCTATGCTAAAAGTTTTCAAAAATTCATGTCCAAATCAGGGAAGGGTTTTCCTTTCAAAATGGTCAAATTTAAAATTGGGACCTCAGAAACCCCTTACAGTGATTTATTGTAGGATTTGAAGCCGAAATCTATTGAAAAAAACTTCATCCCAAATTCCTTAATGCGATTTTATTTCAGGAACTATAAATCAGAATAAGCTGAAATTTTGGAGGATTTGTAGTCCTCTACCAGGATAAGAATTGCTGAAAATTTCAGCTTTCTATCTATGAAAATTCAAGAGCCTGGGATAGAAACTTATTGATACATATCGATATAACAAATTCGTATCGAAATACACCTTCATCTGGAGGTATCGATGTATATATCGATAAGCCCTCCTCTACTCTAAAGGGTGAGGTTATAAAATCACAGATTTTCCTTTCTCTTGACAACTGTTTAGATTTTCCTCAATTTTCCGGCAAATTCGACACAAACAAACCAAAAACCCAAACAAAATCAACTAATAAGATGGAAAACCAATTGCTCCAAGTAACCCAAGCCATAGAAAAACAAGTGGACGCCACCATAGAACAAATCGACAATTTGGACGTAAACGATTTGGAACAACTGCGAAAATCCAGGAAGAAGGAACTGCAAAAGCTGGAAGAGAAAAAACGAGAGTGGCTGCAAAACGACCATGGAAAATACGAAGAACAACCTGAAGAAAAATGCTTCTTTGATATAATTAAAAAGTCTGATAATTTGATCATACATTTTTATACAAATTCATCAGAAAGATGCCAAATTGTTGATAAGCATTTGAAAATATTGGCTCCCAAACATTTAGAAGCTCGTTTTACTAAAATGAATGCCGAAAAATGCCCCTTTTTAGCTGAAAGGCTCAAAGTCAAAGTAATCCCTACCATTGTACTAATACAAAAGACTATATTGGTTGATAAAATTATTGGATTTACTGATTTGGGCAACAGGGATGATTTTTCTACCGAGACATTAGAATGGCGTATAGCTCAAAATGGTCTAATAAATTACGAAGGAGATTTAAGCACTCCTCCAGATGAAGTTGTTAAAAAACCATCAAAAGGTAATAATAATTGTAATACATATTGTGTAATATTAATTAAAAATATTTAATTGTTTTAGGGTATGGTAAAAAAATCAGAGACAGTGCTTATAACAGAGACGATGATGACTTGGATATTGAAGAGTACGGACTGAAAAGTGATAATTTGAAGTCTGAAATGCCTACTCAATCAACTGAATTGACTCCAGAAGAATTGGCTGAATTAGATCTAATTGATTAATCAAACCTTTACTAATAATAAATCATAAGCACCTTTTTTTTTATTATAACAAATAAAATTTTATTTACACAAAAAATACAATAATCTTAAGCTTCTAAAGCCACAGGTTCTTTGGGGATTTGTTTGGTTTTTTCTAAAAAAAATAAATAAAAATTAGCTCATAAATAATCAAATATAAAATAATAACCTTTTGTCTTGTGAGGACTCTTTTCTGCTTCTTCAACATCTACTTCGGTTGATGGTACATTTGGCATTTGTTCTTTTATAATTTCAGCTAATTCGTCTTCAACAGCTTCTTCATCTTCCTGAGTCAATCCGCCACTAAGTAAATCGGATATTTCCTACAAATATTATTAAATAAAACTAAAAATAAATTTTAATAAACATTAGTACGTCTTGTTTTTCTTTGGCCTCTCTAGTTTCATCTAAAATCCTTTCAATGTCTTCAATATTTATAGCTGCATTGACTTGTTTCAAAGCATCATTGCCTTGCTTAAGGCCCTCTACTACTTGTAGCTCGATTTGGGCAAATTCAATGTCGTGAGATAATGTTTCTAGATTTTCCAGTTGATTATCGGTTTTAAGTAAAAGTTGCTCCTGGTATCGTTTTTTTTTTAGCAATAATAAAGCTCGACTATAATGAGAATTTTTAAGATTCAGTATTATTTGGGTTGTACTGTACTTACTCTTTTTGTCCTTTAGCTAATAATTTCTTGGCCAATTCTCTATCTGTAGCTAAAGTAAGGGCAATACGTTTTTGATACTGCTTTAGTTTGTCTCTTTGTTGCTTCAATTGCTAAAAATCCTATGTTATGTGGTTCAGAAATGAGACTAAAGTGGACTTACCAAAACGGCCTTGTCCTGGGCCGTAACTCGACTGATTGGCTTTTTTTTACCAAAAATAATACCCATAATTTTACCTGGAATGTATTAATTATAGTTATATTAATTACTTAGTTGTTTTATTTAAAATTTGAACAAAGAAACAAGCAAAAGATTATCAAAAATAAACAACAACAAAGATGATTTAATTAGAGGTTATGTTATGAAATCAATGTGGCAACGTCGTTTTATCCACCGAAGAACTGTATGCCTATCTTTGTTTAGCACATTAAAAATGACAAAGACAAAAACAAAAATGAAAATCCCCCATTTGACAAGTGACAAATGGGAAAATTTGTCACAAGTAGAGGAAAGGAGCCATTTTGTTGTGTGTTGTTGATTTGATTTTCGAAATGTTTTTCCTCGAAAATTATGTTATCGCAGCCTAAAATTCGTTTAGTTTCGAGTTTCGCTCGTTGTTTTCTACCAGTTTCGCCTATTTAACAAAGAAATCGCCTCACAAATGACTCTGGAAGACCCATTCTTTGTTGTCAAAGAGTAAGGACTCACCTATTTGCATGCAGTTTTCCTCCAGTGTTTTTATTTATTTTTGATCGGAAAAGTGTGTATTTTTTTGGTTTATTTTTAGCTGTAGATGCTTTACAATTGTTATTGCAAGCTATTTTTAAAATTGTCCATCTAAAACTGGGTTGGGAAGGCATACTTTTCTTTTATTTATGAATTTAATAATTTAGGCCTAATTTATTCAGCTTCAGATAAACTTACTGGTAACTGTCTACAAGATAAATTTACCCGAGAATTTATCAATCTATAATCGTATTGGTTGACAAATAGCTGGCTTTCCATTAAGGAAATTCGAATCATCTAATTATTCAAGATGGCGGCGTGGGCATAACAAACTTGACGACGGTATGTTATTCCCACGGCGCCATATTAAATTGAGAAAACGCCAAATCGCCATTTTAGGCAATTCGAATGAGCTGATAATTCAAAATGGCGACGTGAGCATAACAAACTTGACCTTGAAGGTGACTCTACATTCAATTTCAATTGGTTGCAATTTGACTAAGAATTGAATGTAAACTTGCCTTTAAGGTTATCAGCTGTGGTACTCCCACTACGCCATATTAGGCAATTCGAATGCTAATAATTCAAGATGGCGACGTGGACATAACAAAAAACAAACTTTACGACGATTAAGTTAGTTTTGCGGATTTTGCAAGTTGATTTCCATTGATTTCTCATGTGGTTATTTTCCACTGGACAAATTTTGAAATTTTAGTTTGATGAGCTCCTAACTCGCCTTTTTCTTTTCTCAAAATATCATAATCGAGGTCATATTTATCCCATGGATAGTTTTCCAGCTCGTTTTCCAGAAAAAAAATAGAATGTAAGAGAATGCATTTTTTGGATTTTGCAAGTTGATTTTCATTGATTTCCCATGTTGTTATTTTTCACTGTAAAAGGTTGAAGTTTTAGTATGATGAGCTCTTAACTTTCCTTTCTCTCTCCTGAAAATTTCATAATTTTCCCTCGGATGGTTTTCCAGAAAAAAAATAAAATACCTATAAGAAAATGCATTTTTGCTTAATTTGAATTTTGCAAGTTGATTTTCATTGATTTCCCATGTTGCTATTTTTCACTAGAAAATTTTGAAATTTTAGTATGATGAGCTCCTGACTCTCCTTTTTCTCTCCTAAAAATGTCATAATTTTCCCTTGCATAGTTTTCCAAAAAAAAAAAATAGAATGTAAGAGAATGCCGAGGAGAATGCATTTTTGCTTCATTTGGATTTTGCCTCAGATTTTGCAAGTTGATTTTCATTGATTTCCCATGTTGCTATTTTTCACTAGAAAATTTTGAAATTTTAGTATGATGAGCTCCTGACTCTCCTTTTTCTCTCCTAAAAATGTCATAATTTTCCCTTGCATAGTTTTCCAAAAAAAAAATAGAATGTAAGAGAATGCTGAGGAGAATGCATTTTTGCTTCACTTGGATTTTGCCTCAGATTTTGCAAGTTGATTTTCATTGATTTCCCATGTGGTTATTTTTCACTGGAAAAGATTAAAATTTTAGTATGATGAGCTCCTAACTCTCCTTTTTCTTTCCTAAAAATGTCATAATTATCCTTTGGATAGTTTTCCAGAAATAAAATAAAATGTAAGAGAATGCATTTTTGCTTAATTTGAATTTTGCAAGTTGATTTTCATTGATTTCCCATGTTGCTATTTTTCACTAGCAAATTTTGAAATTTTAGTATGATGAGCTCCTGACTCTCCTTTTTCTCTCCTAAAAGTGTCATAATTTTCCCTTGCATAGTTTTCCAAAAAAAAAATTGAATGTAAGAGAATGCCGAGGAGAATGCATTTTTGCTTCATTTGGATTTTGCCTCAGATTTTGCAAGTTGATTTTCATTTATTTCCCATGTTGTTAATTTTCATTGGAAAAATCTGAAATCTTAGTATGATGAACTCCTAACTTTCCTTTTTCTCTTCTACAAATGTCATAATTTTCCTTTGGATAGTTTTCCGGAGAAAAAATAAAATGTAAGAGAATGCATTTTTGCTTAATTTGGATTTTTTAGGTTGATTTTCATTGATTTCCCATGTGGTTATATTCTACTGGAAAACTTTGCAATTTTAATATGATCAGCTTCCAACTCTCCTCTTTCTAGCCTGAAAATGTCATAATTTTCCCTTGGATAGTTTTCTATAAAAAAAATAAAATGTAAGAGAATGCATTTTTGCTTAATTTGGATTTTGCAAGTTGATTTTCGTTGATTTCCCATGTGGTTATTTTTCACTGGAAAAGATTAAAATTTTAGTATGATGAGCTCCTAACTCTCCTTTTTCTTTCCTAAAAATGTCATAATTATCCTTTGGATAGTTTTCCAGAAATAAAATAAAATGTAAGAGAATGCATTTTTGCTTAATTTGGATTTTGCATGTTGATTTTCATTGATTTCCTATGTGGTTATTTTTTACTGGAAAAGTTTGAAATTTCAGTATGATGAGCTCTTAACTCTCCTTTTTCTTTCCTGAAAATATTATAAGTTTTTCTTTGATAGTTTTCCAGAAAAAAAAATAAAATGTAAGAGAATGCATTTTTGCTTCATTTGGATTTTGCAAGTTGATTTTCATTGATTTCCCATGTGATTATTTTTCACTAGAAAAATTTGAAATTCTAGTATGATGAGTTCCTAACTCTCCTTTTTCTCTCCTACAAATGTCATAGTTCTCCCTTGGATAGTTTTCCAGAAAAAAAATAGAATGTAAAAGAATGCATTTTTGCTTAATTTGGATTTTGCAAGTTGATTTTCATTGATTTCCCATGTGGCTATTTTTCACTGGAAAACTTTGAAATTTTAGTATGATGAGCTTCAAACTTTCCTTTTTCTTTCCTAAAAATGTCATAATTATCCCTTGGATAGTTTTCCAGAAAAAAAATAAAATGTAAGAGAATGCATTTTTGCTTAATTTAGATTTTGCAAGTCGATTTTCATTGATTTCCCATGTTGTTATTTTTCACTAAAAAAATTTGAAATTTTGGGAAAATGAGCTTTTAACTTTCCTCTTTACATGTAAATAGTTTCAAAGTTTTCCCTCAATTATTTTTCCAGGAAAACTTTGAAGAGCCTGAAATAAACACAAATTGACATAAAAAAATTGAAACAATACAGTATAATTCCCAACCCTGTTATCCAACAGCCTCTTAAATAGAGCCTTATCCCTCATCACAAACTCTTCTTCTTTCAGTGAAGTATTCAGAGCTCTAAAAAAAACCCGAGGTCTCTACCGTCGCTGGTCCGAATTCCAAAACGAATCCGAACTGATAACGAAAGACGAAATCGAATGGACCAACACTGAACTGAAAAACTCATTACGCAGCATCGAGTGGGACCTCGAAGACTTGGAAGACACCATCGACATCGTCGAAAAAAACCCGTCAAAATTCAAAATCGACAACCGCGAATTGACCAAGCGAAAGCACTTCATCGAATCCACAAAAAATGAAATCCAATCGATGAAAGATAGAATTAGTACGAGCAAAGGCAAGGATAAAGACAGACGGCCACTTTTGGACAGCGGCAGCCCTGTAAGACTTACAAACATGCACAGTGGGACAAAATATTCGAAGTTGGAAAATGAAATTGAAAGCCCGCAATTTTTGCAAAGGCAACAAATGTATGAGGTGCAAAACCAGGATGAGCAACTTGAGGCTATTGCTGGAAGTTTGGGGAATTTGAAAACTGTATCCAGACATATTGGGATTGAGTTGGATGAACAACAAGGGTAAGTTTTTTGTTTTTGTTTGATTTATTGTTAATTGTTAATTGAAGTATGTTGGATGAGTTTGGCACAGAGCTGGAAAATACCGATTCTAAACTGGATACCACCATGAAAAAGATGGCAAAAGTTTTAAGAATGTCAAATGGTAAGTTTTATTTGTTTTTTGATTTTAAATTTGTTTTACATAAGATGTTTTCAGAAAAGCGGCAATGGACTGCCATTATAATCTTAGTTATAGTACTTATTATTGTGATATTTTTATTTTTCGTACTGTGATTTTAATTCAATTATGTACAAATTTTGTTTGTTTGTTTTGGCACACCAAATACATAAGTACAGAGGCCAATATGGAAATATTAAGACAATATTTTGTCAGTTATTTATTTGAAAAGTGCCATATATAATCCTAGTAAACACAAGTTTTTTTCAAGTCACAATAAGGTAAACATAAATATAACACTTGTTCAAGTAAATGCATAAACTTGACATGAAACTAATGCTGGTAAAAAAAAATTATATAAACTTTACATAAATGTGTTTACTGGGATGCTTTTAGATTATTATTTACTGATGATGAAAAAACAACATTTTAGCTGAACATGTTTTTTATACAGTAGAAAGTTTAGACTTTTAATAGAAAGAAACTTGTTATATGTATGTATTTACTTATGTAAATGATAGGCAATATTGATATTTTCTCTGTTTTATTGAAAATAGTTGTAATAATTGTTTTTTCTCTTTAGTTTTGTGGTACCCACCCACAATATCAACATTAACTTAAGCCCAATGTTCTTGTCCCTCTTTTTAAATTCTTTTACATATATTGAATATTTATTAACTATTTTTGTTTTAAATTTTATTAATTATTTGTGTAATATAATAATAATATTTATTGATTTTTTTAAAATTATTCAAAATCTGAATTTTTTGTTCCCGGTTCAGCTACAATCAGTTCAGTTCCGGATTGATTCTGGAAAGAATTCCAGAATTATATCCGAATTTATTTCCTGCATTATATCCGAATGTATGTATGTAATTCAACAATTAAGCCGAATGTAATTCCAAAATGTGGTGGGTGTAGATAGAGTCAAGCTTCGTAAATTTAATAGGTTGTCTGATCATGGTAAACAGATGACGTCATCAGGAGGATCTAATGGAGATTTGCATTATTTTAGCCATCCAGATGACGTAGGGTTTCCATACGTCTGGATTTACCCGGACATGTTTGGGTTTTTAGGGTGTCTGGGGAAGTCCGGCCGGAATTCGGAACAATGTCCGGAAAACTCGGAGATTGTGAAAACATTCATACTCATTCAGTTTACGCACTATTCAAAAGACGTAAAGTTTTACTTTAGGCATAAGTATGTAAAGTATTCACTTTACACACTAGTCCGTCAATGACAGATTTCGACACTGTCATTTTTTTCTAGTAAATTATTTCACTAGTGCGTAAAGTATTTGTCTGAATTTATTTTTTTACACATATTTTATTGGTAGTGGAAATTTTTTGGTATATGCACTACTGGTGTAAAGTGAACTTTTTTTCACGAATGTGAATTTTGTCGCACTCGCCTTTCATTTTACACACTTGTTGCATAAATAGCTATTTCAGCAAATTCCGGATTTCTTGACTCCTTTGTCCTGAATTCCGAAAAACCTTTAGGGAAACCCTAAGATGACGTCAACGTCATAAAAATTATCAGGCAACCCAAGGTTGTTTGAAAGAGGTAAACTCTGTGTTTTTATTCTCATCAAATTTTACCGATGGATCTACCATTCCCGCAGTGTCTTTAGGAACCTTGCAGGCAACCTACTTCTTTCAATTAACCTTGGGTGTGACTTCAAGGATAATACACAGGATAGCTTATCCTGATAAAGCCTGTGTAAATCACATTTCAATCAACCTACCCACCACGCCAAGGAACCAGTGATGACGTCGTCAGCGTGTCGTTTCTCGCCTTGACGACGTACTGTCCGCCCAAGATAAGAACACCGGTTAAAAAAATGTGGAGAATTTAAGTTCATAGAAAACATAGTTGTCACGTACACTAACTACAAAAAAATGAGGCGTTTAATAATTATTGTTATTTGTTAATAATTATGATAAAAGACAGAACACAAATAGGAAATTTTAATTTTGTATTAGGAACACAGGAATGCAAAGAGATGAAAATTTCAAGAAAAATACTTCTTTGCATTTCTGTGCTCCTGATACAAAATTGGAAATTTTGTTATTTTTCCCAATTTTTGCAATTTTCAGGAAAAATATCTCTTTGCGTTTCTGTGTTCCTGATACGAAATTGGGAATTTTGTTATTTTTCCCAAAAATCTTATTTTGTATCAGGAACACAGAAATGCAAAGAGATGAAAATTTCAGGAAAAATACCTCTATGCGTTTCTGTGTTCCTGATACAAAATTGGAAATTTTGCATTTTTCCCAAATTTCTCGATTTTCAGGAAAAATACCTCTTTGTGTTTCTGTGTTCCTGATACAAAATTGAAAATTTCGCAATTTTTCCAAAAATCTAATTTTGTATTAGGAACACAGGAATGCAAAGAGATGAAAATTCCAGGAGAAAAATACCTATTTGCGTTTCTGTGTTCCTGATACAAAAACCAAATAGAACACAATTTACAATTTTAAGGACAGCAAAACACCATTTAAATTTTTTAGAAATGTATTTCCGTAATAATAATACAGAATTTCTTAACGGTTAGACTTGGCCACTCTTTCCAATTCGTCCTTTTTCTTGATGGCATAGGAATTTGACGAACCCTGAAACAGCAAACACAAATTAATCAATTTTTGAAAAATCAATTAAATATTTTCGCTAAATTAAATAATGCATTTAATCAGTTTTCACTTTGTTAATCAACACAGATTTTTATTAATAATTCAGACAAGAGGTGTCAGAATAATTATTAAAGTAAATCATCATTTTTTTAAACTTTTTAAAATTTAACCCTTTCCGTACGGCGAGTTTTCAGAAAATTTGTGCCCTACAGATGGAGTGGGGCATAGGCTGCGTCAGCCGTACGGAAAGGGTTAAAAATCTTGAATTATTATTACCTTAGCAGCATTAATCAACTCATCGGCCAGACACTCGGCAATGGTCTTGATGTTTCTGAATGCAGCTTCACGAGCACCAGTGCACAACAACCAAATTGCCTGGTTGACTCTCCTCAAAGGAGACACATCTACAGCTTGTCTTCTTACTGTACCTGCTCTACCGATACGGGTAGAGTCTTCACGAGGTCCAGAATTAATGATGGCTGTTACCAAAATCTACAACAATAATCAATTTTTTTTATTTATATGAAAATACAATAATTATTATAAAATTTAAATTAAATAAAATATCAGTTTTTAATACAATCACCATTTTTAATTATTGTCTGAAGAGGTGTCAGAAATATTATTGTAATGTTGTAATCATCATTTTTATGTTTTTATAGGGATGCGAGTTGAGAATATTTCCATGCGAATATTCGCAAACATTGGGAAATTTCCGAGAATATTTGCCGATAAAAAATGGAAATGTTCTCCTGAATGAGAATATTTCTGGAAACTTTCAATTACAAACGCTCGAAAGAATATTTCCGAGAACTTTTCCCTTGAAAAAAAAAAAATAAATTTGTGAAAACCAAATATATGAGGTCAGGAAATGAGGACGGGAAATATTTCCCTGCTCCATTTTCCGTCCGTGGACGAGAAATGAGGACGGAAAAAAATTCTTGTCTTGCATTTCCCATCCTGCAGGTAATGAACTAGGAAAATGGAAAGACAGAAATGTGACATTTTCGAAAAGTCAGTAATGACAACATTTCATATATGAGCTGCTTTCGGGTGCCACCTTTTGAGTGCTCCCAAGTTACTCAGAAGTACTCCAGCAACAGTTTGACCCGTTCGGTATCAAGCGTTCGAGTGCAAAACACATGGAGAATGACAGGTCACTGACAGGTGTGAAGTGTTCCAGGAGCTTCGCACTCTGCACCCGAAAGCGGCTATGGTTAAAAATAAACAATATTCCCTGAAAGTTTCCGAGAATGTTCGCGGCTTTTGAATGTTTCGGGAATTTTACATCACTATATTTGTATATTGTATATTTTAATTATTGTTATATTTACCTGTAATGGGTTTTCTCCAGTAAGCAAATGAATAATTTCAAATGCGTGCTTGACAATGCGTACTGCCATTAATTTTTTACCATTGTTTCTACCGTGCATCATCAAGGAATTGGTCAAACGTTCCACGATGGGGCACTGGGCCTTACGGAAACGTTTTGCAGCATAACGACCGGCCGAATGGGGCAAATATTTTGCATTCTTTTCTTTTACTGCAATGTAGTCCTGGAAACAATAATTTTTTAAAATATGTTTTCAATTTTTCAATGATTAAAAATCATTTATAAAATAGTCAGTTGGTGCAAATCAACAGTGGTTTAATTCTGAAGAGGTGTCAGAAATATGTATTATTGCAAATTCATCATTAATAAGACCTGGTTTATTCATCTTCAGATAAACTTGTTGGTAACAAAAGGCTGGTCAATCAAAACACAGAATCAGGCCTATGATGTATCCTATCCTGTTATTTCAACGGCTCTGTTAAGGCTCACCATCTATTTGCGTCTCTATTTTGACGTATAGAATAAACAGTGACAGATAACTTAACCTTGCTGTTAAAATAACAGAAAATGATAGATCATAGGCCTGGTTGTGTTTTTATCAGTCAGACTTATCAGAAGGTGAATAAACTGGCCCTAAATTATCAAAATTAACTCTGAAATTTTCACTTACATGTAAAGAAATATCGGAAACTTGTACGTCGTCGCAGTTCCATTTGGCGAAAAGCCTTATTTCAGGCAATTCAGCGATTTTCGGGGCCGAAGCCACCACTGAATCGTCACCCCAATTATCAGACATCTGAAATTTTAAAAATTTACAGCCAGGGGATTTTTATATGGGGAAATTTAAGACTCAAAGGTTTGTTTCAGATTAATAAAATCAACAATTTGAATTCTGCCAAGAGGTGTCAGAAATTATTATTAATAAAAGAATCATCATTGGAAATTTTACAAAACACGTGTAGGCATGAAAAGTACTTGAAAACTTGTAAATTGAATTCTAGCCCATCAAAAATTCTACAAATATTAATAAATATAAGGCCTGTATTGTTAATCAGCTTACTGTTAATATATTCTCCTCGAAATTCGCCTTTTTTCACAATAAAAACGATATTTATGTGGCAAAAGCGTGTGCTAAACAGCGCCAGCCATTTGTAAAAGAAATTTTCTTCCTTTTGTCAGCTGTCAATTGTGAAATGACATTAAAAGGCGGATGCATGTGTCGCCATCTGTGAACGATTTCCAGTAGCAACAAGTGTGCATTCAGTGGACGTGATTTATCTAGAATTGTACTCTATTCAGTCTTAAGGCTTGTTTGTTTGTGTCACACTAACTTGAACTGAGCTGTAATATTTCAGATTATGGCAAATATAACCATCCGTGTGTTCGGTATTTTGATCTGAGTGAGTTCTCCGAGTTTGAATTTACCGTTCGTTTATTTAAAAAGTGTACTCGGTGCAGGCTCATTTGAGTTCATTTATTAAAATTTTTGGCTCTTTGATACAGCGTTCTACTGCTCTGTTCGCTCGCTAGTCACGTGATTACGGTTCCGCTCGGCACGCTCTGAGCCGCTTTCGGGTGCTTCTAAAACACTTTACACCTGTCAGTGACCTGTCATACTCCATGCGTTTTGCACTCGAATGCTTGAAACCGAACAGGTCAAACTGTAGCTGGAGTACTTCGGAGTAGCTCAGGAGCGCTCAAAGGGTGGCACCCGAAAGCAGCTCTGGATGGGGATTCTAATTGCTCGAAGTTGAAGGATGCGACTTGGAAATAACGTTGATGTTGCATATACGAGACGCTCGACTCATATCGACTAGTGAAATTGTAATCCGGCTGCTGGACTATTTGAGTAAAATACCGAACGCAAGGTATAATAACATAACACAAATGAACGCCCCGAAGCAAGAAGTGATGCTCCGAACAACACAGACAAACAATCCCCTCCCCCAACACCAAATTACCAGTTGTGGTTGTGACGTAAGCAGGGGCAGCATGTTATTTTTCTCCTTGAAGCAGTTCATTGCATAAAGTAGGCTGTTTAAACAGCTGACGACTTAGTTATGGTTATGAAGTCAGAAAATAAATGGTAACACACCAATATGGCGGCGATTACCAAAAACGAGGCCGATAAGCAATCCTGTACTTATGGCTGTTTGCACCGATCATGTTAAGGGAGGTTTAACAATGATCGACTTTTAAACTGACATTTTTACAGGTGAAAATGTCACTTTTAAACGTTGATTATCGTTGAATCTCCCTTTAAATGGTCGGTGCAAACGGACATTAGAGGATCCTGTAGGTGTGTATTATCCTTGATCGACGCCATATTGGTGTGTCACCCTTTCCGACGTCATGATAACTAGGTCCACAGCCTACATCAAGGCGAGAAATAACATGCTACCGACGTCAGAACTGGTGATTTGACGAAGTATGGGGGGGAGGAGAATTTTGTTCCACACAGGCCTCATAAGGATAGGCCATCCTGTAGTAGTAGTGTGTATCATCCTTGATATTGAATAGCGTCCCAGTGTTATTTGGTGCAGAAGAATTCAAGAGTGAACTACTCTAATAACATAACACTGGAATATCATTTTCACTCACCCTATTCAAATCACTCATATGAAACAGAATTCGAAATTATTTCTAAAATCAATCCCAAATTGCTTGTAGTTGAACCCAAAATATAGAACTGTAAGAATTTAGTTCAAAAAATTTGGAACAGAGTGATTTTTATACTTCCGTCATTAACAATAGAATTCTATTTTGGCTGGTTCGACAATTTTTGGCTTGTTATCCGTTAACATAAGACTGTGTTCAAACCTTCCATTTTCCCGCGTTCACCATTAATGACGTCATTTACAAATTAGTTTAATCCGTAGTTTGAAGTATTCGCCCCGCGACAACACATTTTGGATTGAAAAAAAAATATTTTAAAAATGACAAGTGACTTAACTAAAATAGAATTCTACTTATCGTTGCAGGTGCCTGCATTACCGACATTTTCGGATTTTGTAGGTTATGTTTGTGTACTTTGCAGCGGAGATTTTGTTCCAATCGACATTTTTTACTCAAATTCTGTTTATTGTTGCCTCTGGAACACTAATTCTGGATCCAGTGTAGGTTTTTTTTATGTTCGAAACTTATCGGGCAACGTTAACAGTTATACTCCATTTGGTCTGAGAGTCTCGATTTAGTGCACAAAATTTAACTCTGTTTACTCGTACTACTGTTACTGAGTAAATAGAGTAGGTTTACTCATAAAAAAGTTGTATTTATTCTCCTCCTTATACTCTAACGTGAACATCTATTTCCATATTTCGAGTGCTCTGAGTAAGGAAATCGTTGAAGATTGTTTTTTTTTACTCCTTTGAAGTAAATAGAATAGAGTGAGTTGGGCTGGAACACAAATTATAGATTGCTCGATTGTGAACCAGTTCAATCGTTCTGATCAAACTCTTTGATCCATCGAATTTGACGGAGCAAAAAAGAGCGCTCTATGCGAGATTTGAGAATTTTATTGCTCAAATCGAATACGTGAATCTCGCCGAGATCAATCGGGAGCAATTTTGAAACAAAAATCGGAAACGCTATAAAACTTGTTCTCCTAGTAGCGACATCTATTAGCCAAATACTGAAGCTTTCCTTATTTAACAAATAAGAAGTGCGCAAGCTTATTTTGCTAGTGGCGACATCTATTAGCCAAAGACTGAAGCTTTCCTTATTCAAAAAATAAGAAGAGCGAAATCTTTACTTTCAACTCTAACCTCAAAATTTTTAATTCAAAAACTTACTTTAGTTTTTAAGGAAAAAATGGCAAAAAACCTCTTAGATGTGGCAAGAAGTTTTAAAAAACTATCAATTAACACAAAATGCCCCAACCAAATAAGGCTCCTAACCACTACCCCAGCTTTAGGCACAAATTTTTACAATAAACGTAAGTAGAACCTCTACATTAAAACTCCATTAAAAACTGCGTTATTTTAGTCCCAGCAACAGATTTATGGAAAGGTATTACATCCGTAAGTAACGCCGGTAAAAAGCGAGGCCGTGCCAAAACAGTCTCGAAAAAAAACATCAAAGACCTCAACAGAGGTCAACTTATAGGAGTGGGCAAAGCCAACATTGTATGGCCAGGCTTGTCCGCTCCTATTATAAGAGGCAAAGAACTAGTGGAACAAATCCAATTGCCTGCAAACCCGGACCGAGAACAAAAACTCATTCAACTCCGAGACACAATGGGGGCGCGCAAATTTGCCAAACTCAGCCCTTTGGAACGGGGCTGGTCTGGTTCAAAAATGCCCGGTAGAAGTTTGGGGCCTCCCGATCCAGTGGGCGAAGAAAAATTTGAAGGCTTTGACAGCAGAGTATTAGAATTAAGAACTATTGTAATTATGAAGGGGAATTTTGGTAGAAAACGAAGAATTTCTTCGCTTGTGGTTACTGGAAATAAAAACGGTTTAGGTGGATTTGCAATGGGCAAAGCCCTAGAAGCCAGAATTGCTTTGCGAAAAGCCAAAAACCGCTCAGGGCAAAAACTAGTCAAAATCAAACTCTTTAACAATCATACAGTTTGCCATCATTTTTTTACTCAATTTGGTTCAACTAAGATTTACGTTTGGCAAAAACCTGAAGGCTATGGTTTGAGATGTCACAGAGTAATTAAAACAATATGCCAAGTGATTGGAATTAAGAATTTATACGCAAAAGTTGAAGGCTCAATGAATGTAAATCACATAATGAAGGCCTTTTTCTTGGGCCTGGTGCGTCAAAAGTCGCCAGAAGAAATTGCTGAAGAGAAAGGCCTTCATTTGGTGCAAATTTGCAAAGAAAACAATTTTTTCCCTAAAATTATTGCTTCCCCAAAACAATGCAAGACTCTAGAACAATTACCAAAAGATGCTAATTTAGACTTCAATCAATATTGTTTTGATGGCAAAGTTGTGCTGCAAAAGAAAAAAAAGGAACCATTTTATACCAAGTTGAAGTCTTATCATAGTTATTTGATGAAATATGAAAAACAGAGGGACCAGCAGGAAGTTAGGTCAAGTTTAATAGCAGAATATGGCGAAATAAGGAGCTTTTTGGCAGATCAGTATCCTGAATGTGGGCAGTATAGACCACCCAAGAGGGTAGTTGAATCTGAAGAACAAGAAGAATCGCAATAATAAGACACTGTATAATTAATACTTAAGTAAAATAAAAATATTCTCTAAAAATAAAAACTATAATTTATTTTCAAAACATCAAGGAAATTGCGACATCTTTGACTGAACGAATAATTATATTTCTTAGAAATAGCGAGAGCAACCGTATCCAAATTTCGCCAATTCCTGGTGCAAAAGTATTGAAACAATCAACTAAAGTCTACTATGCAAAAGGGTATTTTCAAAAAACATTGCTGGGGTATTCTTCAGCCCAAATGGCATCCTTAGAAGTTCGTATATTGGTCAATTTCCGTATTAATTGAAATTTTCTCTATGTCGTTTTTGTTCTGGTAACGAGAAGGTACTACAATGTGACCAAGGACGTATATAAGGGGGGGTTCAAACCCCCCCCCCCAATTAGGCTGAATAAATAAAAAAATTTAAGAAAAATAAACATTTTTGGACGTGGAACCCGGCGGCCAGGCCAGGTTACTACCTATACATCGTCTGGTCTAAAATTGAAACCCTTTTCAGCATAGACCACGAGCCGCCACTGCTCTGAAACCCCCCCCATGCAGAAGCTATAGCTACGTCGTTGAATGTGACCGCAAAATCCAATAGGACCATTTACAAGTTACGAAAATATTATGTGAAAAGCATGAGAATTTATGACAGAAAAAAGGAAACTATAATTACTAATTTCTCGATTCAATCTGGAAAATGGCTGGGGCGATCTCCAGCCCAAATGGCATACTTAGAAGTTCGTATAATGGCCAATTTCCGTATCAGATGAAATTTACTCTATGTCGTTTCTGTTCATGTCTGTATCTGGTAACGAGTAGGTACTACAATGTGACCGCAAAATCTAATAAGTCCATTTACAAGTTACGAAAATATTATCCGGAAAGCATTGAAGTTTATGACAGAAAAAAGAAAACTTTAAATGCGAATTTCTCGATTCAATCTGGAAAATGGTTTCAGCACAAACTGTTCGAAATTAAACAGAACTATGACCTGAGAACAACGAAGTGAACGAGGTTTTCACATTAATTCTTTTGAAAACTCACTCGTTTTCTAGTGAGTATCGTACTTGAATAGCGTACCCAGACAAGACACATAGGCTGTTCATTTGTACTTGCTACCTGCTCGAAAAATCAGGAAGATCTGCTAGGAGCTGCTATTTATGATTTATGGGACTTATGAGACAAGTGAGTGCCGATCAGTTGCTGAGATCTGCTTGGAGCAAGAAAAGCAGTACAAATGAACAACCTAATAGAGTCAAATACGTCTTTTTTTGAATCTTTATCACGTCTGAACGTCTAAAGACCAATGAAAGACTTCCATCGGATATCATAAATTCACATTCACACCGGGCCTAAAAGTGAACGGTTCATGTATTGAAAAGAGATTCAAAAACATCTTTAAGCAGACGTCTGGAAAACGTTGGGTTTTGTAAGATGTTTTTAACACGATTTAAAGACGTAAGTAGGACTGGGGAAATGTAACGAATAAAGATATTTTCGCTATCTCTATTAATTTCCCCTCTCTATTGATTTCGGAAAGAGAGAAGAAGACAGCAAGGGACGTCTTCAAGATTACAAAAATTTCCCTGGAACTGGAAACCTTTTAGAACTATTTTGAACCAATTTAGAACACTTTGGAGCTTCAAAATACTTAAAAATCCGTCGAAACAAATCAGAAAATACTGAAAAATTTCTAAAATGCTCCAAAATTCTTCACTACGCCAAGTTTAGAACTTCAATAGGCTATTTAGGACGTTCCAAAACCCTTTCCAGCAGTATTTGGAAGGTTTCACAACAATTTTTCTCATTAGTTCGCAATAACGTAGGTATTGATGAGTAAAACAAGTTGAGCATTGACAAAGTTTGGCATTGAAGCTTATGGCAGAAAAAAACTAAAAATGCTATTTTCTAGGTTTTATCTTAAACCGGCATTTACTGGAATAGATGTAGTGATTACAGAAATTTTAATCGAGAATAACGAGGACTTACCAAACAACCATACCAACAGAGATCATCACTTAGACAGCACAACTAGAAACTTCAATTATAAATTATCTGAACATCGATATCCAGAAATTATTGAAAGCTGATATTCTATATTGTCTAATACATTGGAATGTGACTAAAGCAAAAGTTCATGGACCTTTTTTTTAAGTGCTTTCAACAATTAACATTCCAAAGGAGCCGAAAAATGTCTAAAGGGATCAATAAATCATGCACGAGCCTATATGATGATACCCACTTAACAAACCACTTAGGGGACTAAAAGGAGACCAAATACATTAATTGATCGGATGATTCAACCACGGAAAATCGAGGTCAGAAACAATAAAGAAATTCAAGACAATGGAGGGACCAGTGATATGAAAAGGCAACTTTGGTAGGAGAAAATCAGTGTTCGAGAAAGAACGAGTAAACCGGCAGAACTACGGCGTCAAAGACCAGTGTCGGTTGAGTAATCAAGAAACAAGTAGTAATCGAAAATCGAGAGATCTGTGTCCAGAAAGTCAGAACTACGACGTGAAATAACAGCGCGAAAATATTCGAGTTTTCATAATTAAAGTAAATTCTTTCAATCAATAAGATTTCCATGTAATTAGGTGTGGCCAGCAGTAAATATATTATTGTTAAATGTAAGTAGAGTTTTTTTTATGTTCAGCCAGAATTTGTTAAGGCAAAAGTGTGAATTGAGTCAAACTGTAAATAAATTACTTGGAATTATATAAATTTTCCTTAACAATTAATTGTTGCTTATTAGAAATCTAACTCTGTAAGATTATTTATTACCGATGCCTGTTAATTAATAACAAGCATTATTTATTTTAATAAAATAAACTTTATTTTAATTGACCAGAATATTTCTGTGTTTTACTCTCTACCCGCAAATTGGACCCACTTTAAACTGTGTCTCCACTCAGAAACTAAAGTCACCGCTCGCCAATTTAACATCTTGCCAAGTTTCTGAATTTGGAGTCTCACATGGATTTCTATGCCATTTGGAATGAATAATGCCCCAGCCACTTTCCAAATTATGAGGAATCTAGAACATTAAACTCATTTTTTCTTTACAGCATGATCTGGCAGTCTAATTTATAAAAAAATCCCACCCTTTGAGCTAATTTTGGCCCTGATGGTGGGATTATAATAATATGACCTCGAAATGTGTACCTATTTAATTTATTGAAGTATTTGTGGTGGAGAAAAACTTTGTGTTGAGTCAAATTGCAACTCCACTTTGAGAGATGTAGGTACTACTTCTTCAATGTCTTATGTCTTGTATAGTTTGACAACATTATTATATTTTCGCTACAAGAACACTTAGGACGACTCAAATTACTTAGTTTTCCAAAGATTGCGTGAAAACAATTTCAGAATTCAATTGGATAAAAATGAATTCCTCAGACGAGTCACGAGAAATAGCTCTATACAATGGTACTGCAATGACCCGGGAAAATAGACCCGTAAATTACAATGACTTTACTGTAAAAATTAAATGTAATCAAGTAATCAAAAACTGAATTTCCTGTATTTCAAATCAGTATCAATAAATTGAAAATGAAACAAATTAACGTTGACCCCAAATTAATTAAAACATTAATATACGTTCAAAATTATATTATTTCGTCACCAAGCCTGTGTCATCATTTAAATCAAATTCTTAAAAATATCAAAAGCGAGGCCAAATTAATTAAATAGGTGATTTATGGCCGCATACGTGTGTCGATACTCTTTGAGTTATATGTCCAATTCTTACAACCAAATCTGTTGACCCCGATAAACCAGGAAATTGCGACATAATTATTCGATTTTAAACAAATAAAAGAGGAAGCTTATTGAATGATTGAAGTTTTTGGGGAAACAAAACATATATAAATACAGCGGTTTTAGAAGTGGGGGATTTCTTTTTTGTAAAATTGATAACAAAAAAGTTTCCCACACATTGTATGAATAAATATTGGAAAAAACACACTAAATAGATGAGTTGCGATAAATAGAATGACCAATAAGATCTCTTGAATCCTGATCTTACACCAATAGCCTGATGACAAAATAAAATACAATTTGGTTCCAACTTACCCCCTGTGTTTTCATGCCTCTGTTGTTTTCTTACGCTGACTGATGAATCCTATGAAGAACCAGAACAATAATAATAACACACAGTTTTTAATACTTAAATTAGATGATTATTACACTGATTGATCTATATAGTAAGTTAAGACTTTTTTTTTTCTTCAAAAAAGTGCACATTTAGATTCGTTTAAAATAGAGTGCTAAAATTGTATTAACTACGACATCAAAAATACATTATTCGTCAGTGCTTCTTTATACTTTATAAAATTCTTTCAAGTCTGGACCATATATTGATATAATAATTATTATTTTTAAAATATATTCGTAGAGTAACGTGCAACGTATTATCTCCCACCACCTTTTTTTAAAAAAAAAATAAAACAAATTTACGTTGTCGTTGATGTTGACGCTAATGCAGCCTCTTGTCTCTCTTTAGCCTTCATGAAATAAGTCAAAATGTCTATGGGGAGTGGAAATACAATTGTCGAATTCTTCTCTGAGGAGATTGTATTCAATGTCTACAAAAATATTTTGTAATAAAAATCTTATGTAAAAAAAAAATTGATTTTACTTGTAAGTATCTCAGCTGTAGAGCTGCGGGTGAATCTCCAATAACTTCAGAAGCCTCTCTTAAGGCTCTTGAAGCCTTTTGCTCTCCTTCAGCTGCAATTACTTTAGCTCGAGCCTCTCTAGCTGCTTCAGCTTCAGCTGCCATCGCTCTTTGAAGCTGAACAGGCAAGCGAACATCCTTTCTATGTACAAAACACATAGTATATTATTGTGCTACTTATTAGAATTTTTATCACTCACATCTCAACTCGTTCAACATTTATGCCCCACGAATCAGTAGCTTCATCCAAAAGTGCCTTCATGTGCTGAGAAATGCTCTCTCTTTCGCTGAGGATTTCATGCAAAGGCCGTTGTCCCATGATATTTCTCAGGGTGGTTTGAGCAAGAAGTCTGGTAGAATGATGAGCGTTTTCCACGTTGGCAATTGAAACTGTGGCGTTGGATACTCGATAGTAAACCACTGCATCTACTGATACTGTTACGCTGTCTTTGGTTAGTACTTCTTGAGGAGGGATGTCGTAAGTTCTGGTACGAAGATCCACCCTTGCGTAGGCGTCGATGCAGGGTAGAATGAAGAAAATTCCTATGGAATGTTTACAAATAGGAGACAAAAATAAAAAAAAAAAACTTTTGTGAAAATTCTTACCGGGTCCCTTAGCGCCGCCAGAAAGCAACCTTCCCAAACGGAAAATGACGGCCCTTTCGTACTCCTGAACCACCTACAATGATGTTAAATTAGATACTTCAATAACTAAATTTTAATTAGTTTACCTTGAAGCAAACAAAAAGCGAAAAGGGCATCGTCAAGACAACAACCACCCATGATAGGATAGTCAAGATTTTTCCACAAGTTTTGTTTTCTTCTATTACTTGTTCTGCTACAAAATTAGTAATAATTAAATTGGACAATCAACTTGTTTTAAATTAATCAATTAAGCCATAGCTTTTGTATATTATTATTTCCACAATGAACTAACAGTAGGGTAAATGCAAGAAAATTACTGACCTTCTGTCATTATTAAAGCAACAAGTTCCTTGTAAGATTTATTGCGTTGATGAAACGCTTTGTTTTTATTCGATAATAAAAGAAAAACACGCCCTTGTTTTGCCTGCTGTCGCTGACTAAAAGTCCTGAGGGATGCTGGCTGATGCCAGGGAAGGGATGAGGCGCCTGCGATATACGAGATCCCAGGAACGAAATAATAAAAAGTGGGTCGAATTGTTTAATTTGAGTTGAGGGAAAACTATGACGGATGGCTATTTGCTATTTGGTTCTGACGATGATAATTTTGCTGCTGGTTCAGGAAGAGGTTTGAATCCACTGACAAACATACTAGATAGAGATTATTTTAAATTGAAATTACAAGCCAGTTTCGTAGAATAGACGAAGATTCGGAAATAGAAAAGGAAGACAAATTTCAGTATCTTCTGCAGTCGACTTTTCCAAATTGACGTGCTCGTGTTTCGGTAGAAAGCTACCCTGCTAATACGGCTGAAAATTATCCAAAAGTAGTTCAAAGTTTGTCGTTTTGGAATTCTGTTTGAATTCTACGTAAGGGAACTTTCAAAGTTTTATCTAATATGAGCAGAAAAAAATTCTCTTTTTTCGTTCTATGATAGGATTAAGTCACAACTATGTGCGTTGAAGACCCTTGGAGTCTTGGATACTTATGCAACTATTTTGTAACCTTTAATCGTGTCTAAATACCGACCTTGGCAGAGTAGTTCTAGTTATGCTGATGACTTGAATCTTAAAGATTATCTGCATAAGTTAATTCATTTTCTTAAGAAAGAAGTTGAAAATGAAGTCCGCATCACGCTGGAAAAAACTAAGCTCGATGAAAACGTTGTTATCGCCGCCACCTGGATGTGACGGGCGAGTAAGGGAGACTTTGTTTTAGGACTAATAAAAGCCTTTTCTCGTACTGCCACCAGGAACTATGATTAAAGTCTTACTGTAATTCTTGGTAAATCGCAACAGGTTAATTTTATTATAGTTTTTAACTGATCCGGTTGCCCTTATTAGTCCGGGTTCTTGCTACCCGAGCTGTACGTAGTTGGGTTCTAAACTGTTTTGAGTTGAAACGGTTGTCAGAATAAATCAAAGAAATATTCTCTTACGATAAAGATTCATATGGAATTTATTATAGATAATATAGGTTACAGGTAAAGACAATGGAAATTCAGTAAAACGATTGAAATAAAGGAATAATAGGTATTAGAGAACATCCTCGACAAGGTAGTACAAATACTATAAATCGGCCTTGTTAGATATCGGGGTTTCAACATTGAACGATTCTCTATATTGGAAACCGACTGATAACCCTTGGCTTTTGGTATGGTTTCGTCAGAAATTTGGCGATTTGATCTAACTGGTAAGAAAGCCAATTAGTTGTATTACGAAGCAAAAAAAAAGGACTTTTAAGCCGGTTTGTTACAACGTGTACCAAAGGTCAAGACGGGACAAGAGGATAAGAAAATACCATTCATTGGAGCTGAACTTCTAATCAGAAATCATCAAGAAATTTCCCTGCTCCCAGTTCTTCAACAAGTGCTGAACAAAGTTTGTCTAGTCACACCTATCCGAAAGGTAGTAGAACTAAGAAGTCACTGCTAGACACGTAGAATAAGATGGGTTTCCGGCAGACATTCACACAGATCTTATCATAACATCCTCAATGGGTTACGCTGTTATACGAAAAGATCAGCTGATCCATTCACTTTCTGAAGGTACTGTAGTGACTACAGAAATTTTAATCAAGAATAACAAGGACTTATCAAACAACCATACCATCACTTAGACAGCACAACCAGAAACTTCAATTAAAAATTATCTGAACATCGATATCCAGAAATTATTGAAAACCGATATTGACTAATACATTGGAATGTGACTAAAGCAAAATTTCATGGACCTTTTTTTTAAGTGCTTTCAACAAATAACATTCCAAAGGAGCCAAAAATTTCTAAAAGGATCAATAAATCATGCACGAGCCTATATGATATGATACCCACTTAACAAACCACTTAGCGAGGCCCTTTGATAATTAATTAAAAAGGGACCAAATACACTAATTGATCGGATGATTCAACCACGAAAAATCGAGGTCAGAACCAATAAAGAAATGCAAGACAATGGAGGGACCAATTATATAAAAAGGCAACTTTGGCAGGAGAAAATCAATGTTCAGTGCTCGAGAAAGAACGAGTAAACCGGCAGAACTACGGCGTCAAAGACTAGTGTCGGTTGAGTAATCAAGAAACAAGTAATAATCGAGACCTGTGTCCAGATAGTCAGAACTACGGCGTGAAAAAGTTGTCGAATTAACCGAGAGAAGAAGCACGACGTGAAATAATAACGCGAAAATATTCGAGTTCAGCCAGAGTGTGAATCGAGTCAAACTGTAAATAAAAAATTTTCACTTGGAATTATATATACAAATTTTCCTTAACAGTTAATTGATGCTTATTAGAAATCTAACAAATTTATTGTAAGATTATTTTTTCGAAAAGATCACAGTGATCTTTCCCATGAACTTCACTGGTACCTCCATTAAAGTTCAACTGAACCTTTATTTACTACAACCGGGCCTTAGATAATTTTTACTTTCCTATGAAGTGCCATTTTTAAATTGATTCTACGAAGGTTTTGTCTTCGATCAAGCAGGAGGAACAGTGGAAACCCTTATTTGTATGACTATGACTATGATTTTATGTAGATGAAAATCCAGCAGATCTTCCATCAAAAGGTTGCTTTAGAAATAAGCTTGCTGATAAAAATTAGTGGGAGGGTTCTTTGTGGCTTCAGAAACCAGTTAGCGAATGGTTTGATTGAAAATATCAATGTAATGAAGATTTGGTAAATGAAGAGAAGGTAAATTCGTCACTTTCGGTGCAAATATTTCACTTGATACTATAAGAACATATTTTTCAAGTTTCAATAAGATTGTTCGGCAATTGTAGACGAATTCAAGTAAAGAAATGGATGCTACTGAAAAGGCAGTTAAGAAGATACAAAAAGAAAGTTTCCCTTTATCAATTCATGATGAGAAACTCTCTAGTTTGTGTCTATTTTTAGAAATATAGATGGTCAAACGACCGCCTATTGTCGATTTTGGTAGGTAATTAATAATATTTTGGGGGAAATCGAAAAATATAAATACAGGGGTTTTAGAAGAAGCAGAGCAGTTGTTAGTTCAGTCCAGTTCAGTTTTAAGTCTACAGTACCTAATGAGTCAGTGCGGATAAAATTCGCGAAGAGTTTATTTTCTTGTTTTTGCCTCGGGAAAACGCGTTTGATTCAATCTTAGAAAAAGTACAGAAAATTGTGAAAGAAAGAACATTTAAAGTCGTTCAACATTATGTGCGAGCTCTAGAGATATTTAAATTAAATTAATTAAGTAATTTTACGAGTGAAAGTTAAATGTAAGTACTCTAGTGACTATAGTAAAACTTTTTGACTTTATAAATGAATTAACTTTGGAAATTTAATGCATAAAAACTTGAGTGATTTGACTGTAAAAACTTTATTGCATAACTTTAATTGCCTTTAAGTATATTGACTATTGACATTTTCATTAAATTTGCAAAGAATTAACAAAGAAAAATTAAAATGCTCTCAACAATATTCGATTTTGAGTAGGAATTATTAAAGAATTTTGAATTTGATTGTCCAATTGAAGTTGAAGGGCTATAGTAACGAGCTAATAGTTTTTCAAAAATATAATTTGTGAAACTCATTTTACTTATCTTTTGTTATGTAATAGTCATTGTTGAAACTTTTTAAATGTTAATTTATTTTTTTAAACCTTTGTAAATGCTTCTTTTTTAAATGTTAATTTATTTTGTCATTCATTTTTTAAAATGTTAATCGTTGTGAAATGCTTGTAACGTTCTTTGCATATTTTCTTTTAGCCTTGCGCAGAATTCGTCGAAACGTTGGCTGTTGATTTAGATATTTCATTAAATAAGCCGAAAACCGACTTTTGATTAACATATTCCTGGACGAAAACCACACTGTGTAAGATTTTAAATAATTGTGTTTGTTGGCTAGGAATCCGAAAATAGTAATTGTTCTGTTCAAAATGGTCCTTAGTGAAGAATGGAACCACTAAATGTAGGTATTGGAAAGCTTTGTTTGAAAATTGTTGTTCATGAAGTAACTTTGATGACCTTAAGTGCTGAATTTTTGAATTAGGGTTTTTTATTTAAAAATTATTGTAAGGTTTTTATAAAAATATAGTTAATAATACATATATACTTAATCCAGTGAATCGGATCATGACTTAAATAATTATTTTGCATAAGCAGTTAATAAATGACTTACGAGTTTTAAGAATACATAGATATAATATAGGTGAAGGGTAGTTTTAATAGGAATGTGAATCGGAAGTGTTGTTTGAAAGAGTAATGTATAAACTTATAAGTTATTAAGAATTGAAGAAGTACCTAGGGCGTTTGTAGTATGGATATTTCCTGGTCCGTAGTAATGAAATTTGAACGGATGTGAAATAATTTGATTTGGGAAAAATAGAAGTGGCTGTCAGACATAGAAAGATATTTGCTTTATTTTAATTTTGGTTTTAGGTATAATAAAATATAATTTAGTAAACCTCAATAGTTTGTTTCTCTTTTTTTGCGAATAGACCCCCTCCACAATTTTATAGGTAGCCGCAAATAAACACCATCAATATACCGCTCGCCGTTTACCATCTAACTAATTAAATAGAGTACTTGGGCGCGTTTTGCTACATAATTTAGGAAGTGCAGACAGGATGCTGATAGGTCATAGTTTGAGTTTGATACATCATTCTTGCTGCCTGACTTGTGAATAGGAAAAACATAAGAGAGCTTCCACATTTCTGGAAAAATTTCAGAGTTTAAGGATTTGTTAAAAATAATAAATAGAGGGAAATACAAAGTGATAGAACAAGATTTTAGTACCTTGTTAGGAATACCACCAGGTCCTGCAGACTTGTTCATATCCACTTGTTTTAAAGCCCTCTCAATATCGGTTGGGTCTATGACAATGTTGAAACATTCGCAAATCGATCAGCAAAGGGTCTGGCGTTGGAATTTCTCCGGAGGTTATAGACAGAGGAAAAATAAACACCAAAAAGATTAGCTATGTCAACACCGTTGAACAATAAGTATTTCTGTTGCCAGAAACATTTTCTTAGGAACAGTACTCTGATTAGATTTGGGAATGAATAAAATTCTTGAAAACTTTCACGCCTATGGTCTTTTCAGTATCACTTATGTACGGGATATCTGCAACCTCGATGAAAGATTAAGGGCCGGTTTCTCAATAGCAAGTCACCCCCGGGTTGGGTATAACTTCAGGATAAACATTGCAACTGACTGGACACGCTTTTGAGAAAGTAGAGAAGTAGCGAAAAGTATTCTCATTAACAGTTGTGTATCGAGAAGTAATAAAAAGAGATTTATATGTTAGAATAATTTAGTGAAAATAAGGAAAAATTGTAAATACCTACATGAAGGAAATCGAGTACACTTACAATTGTAATTACTGCCACCAAATACATGCTTAGTAAAATCTTCTGTACTGGTGTTGTTACCATTAATAATCGCTGTGGACATGGTCACAGATGGGGACGGGGTTATTCTAACTTCGGAAGAAGCCACCTATAAAAAAAATAATCAAGTTTGTGTTGTATTTGTTGTTTTTAATTGTGTAATTGCGTCTTGTGCTTTCTTTATATTTTGTTTTGGAGTATCTTTATTGTATAAAATATTTAGGTAAAGAAGATTTCAAATTCCAAGAAAATAAAGTTGTTCAGAATTCAGACATCGATTCCAATTAATTATTTAGAAAATCGTTTAAAACTGAGAATAGCCACGTGAATATTTCACGTAGATTTATCCTCTCTCTATATAATTTTCCATTTATTGATTTTTAGAAGGCAAATTATACGTTTCATAAGGAAGAAGAAAAAACATAATCCACGTCAGTCATAGTTGTAATATAATAAATATCAAATTAATAAATATTTGTAGGTATGTACGTGTAAAATGAGGCATAGGTACCTATATAGACTCATTAAAATGATAATAGAAGTTTACTTTTAGCTTTTAATGGATAAGTTAGTTATAAGAACAGTTATTACAACAATTATAATTATTATTTATTTATTTATTTGTAAAACAAAGTTGCAAATTTAATTTTATACTCACTTTAGCTTTGCACAAAAAAAATTACCACAGAATATATATATTTTTACTAACTGTCCACTATCCCATTCGAAGTGAGAAACAGTAATGATGACCGTTCCAAAACGCCAACACAAACAATAAATATCCAGGAGACATATCACGTGGTCAATAAATTATGAATTAGTGAGTTTTCCAGCAGGGATAATTTGTTTTACTTGTCGTTTAATTGCTCAACAAGAGACATTGATTTACGTATTTTAAATGCAGGATTTTGATTCGAAAACAAACAATTTTCCTTCGACAATCCGGAAATCTAAGAGAAAATAATATTTTGATTGTAATGGAGCGTTAATAATTTTGATTTTGGATAATCCATTTTTAATAGAAATCAAATTATTGTGATGTACCTATTCCTACACAGATTCCATACCTGACTTCTAGAAAGTATACTGCGTTTTTCAGAAAGAGACTATTGGATCAGAAAATAATATCGAACTCAGAACAGTACAGCAAATCTTCCTAATACTCTTTTGCATTAGTTTTGATTCCTAGATTTCCTATAGTAGTGAGTTCAAAATAGTCAAAGTTATCAAAATTCAAACGAGACTTGACAAAGTAACTTTTTTGAGAATTTGAAACAACCTTTCTATTGTATAATTAGCCAATTTTATTTTTTTAATAATTATTACTGAGCCTAGAAACAAATAATAGAAACTAAATTGTAAATGTTTAGCGCCAAAACGCCTAAGTAATACAGACCTATATGTCTACCTTCGTTCCTGTACAAAACGCTGGAAAAAAATGTGGATGGATACATCAGAGACCGCACACTGACACTCTATCCTCTAAGGGATTGCCAGTAGTATGCCTACCAACCAGGAAAGTCTACACTGGGAAGACCTAAACAGACTCCTGACAAAGTCAATTGATGACAAAGAGGTAGCACTAACCACGTTTCTAGATATAGAGGGAGCGTTTAACAACGTTCCAACCACATCATCTCAAGTGTAGGAATATCTCGCATACCGTTTGCAACTGGATGTGAGCCAGCCTAAGAAACAGGTTAATTACATCTACTCTGGATGAGGACACAATAAAAGCAATAGTGGGAAGGGGCTGCCCACAGAGAGGCGTTTTATCGACATTGTATTGGGCGGTCCGATCTCCTGGCAAAAATGGCCAAGAAGAGATTCTATTGCCTTGGCTACGCGGATGATATAGTCCTGGTAGTCAGAAGGGAGCCGGGTTTCAGAAAACCTCGTGGGTGCTGAGGTTCATGCACTGGCATTTATGAGGAAGGGTGAACAGCCCGCCGGTGGCGAAAAAACTTCTCCAGATGCCACGCCCAAAAACGTTTACCATCATTCTTTAATTTACATTCGGACGAGTGTCTAAGAAGGGAATGGTGATACATTTCAAACAACGTAGTTCAAACCTTTCGATATTCGGTTTTCAGCTGCGGGAACTAGTGTTGCTTGGTGCTTGCGTAAGTTTTTTGCGGTGTCTGCTAAAATTGGAAAAAAAGGACGGCTATAAGGGTAAAGAGTAGAGTGTTCTCACAGCTATCAGAACAATACCCACTTCTATTACGTAAAACCCCCCTCCAGCATAGCCATCATACCACTACCCACCTCCACTGTAAACCCTCTTCCATAAAGCCCTCCATTAATCTATTTTCAAAAGGCTCCTACCCTGAGATGGCACTTTATTATATCCCTTCATTTTCTTGGAAACTAAAGAATATTTAACCAATTCTTCCATTTGTATTCGTCAATTTTAGAGTTGGCCCGGGGCAAATTCCCAAAATTTCAGATCAAAAGCGCCGCCGATCTAGAGATTTTCCCACGTTATCGAAAAACTTCCTAGGCTCAAGTGCCCCCAGCTATCAGACTAGCAGATTGACAAGCAAAATATTTATTATTGCAATAAAATTAATGCACCTGTCTATGACCAATTCCCACCTCCACTACGTCAAAAAGCTTCTACTCTGAAGAGGAACCTCTTTCCATATCCCTTCACTTTCTTGAAAACTAAAGAATATTTCAACAATTCCTGCATTTGTATTTGTCAATAGTGTTCTAAATTCCATGAGAATAATTTTATTGCAATAATAACATTTTGCTTGTGAATCTGGTGGACCACTTACGTAGTAGAGGTGGGTATTGGTCTGATAGCCGGGGGCACTTGAGCCTGGGAAGTTTTTCGATACCGTGGGAAAATCTCTAGATCGGCGGCGCTTTTGATCTGAAATTTTTGGGATTTGCCCCGGGCCAACTCTAAAATTGACGAATACAAATGGAAGAATTGGTTAAATATTCTTTAGTTTCCAAGAAAATGAAGGGATATAATAAAGTGCCATCTCCGGGTAAGAGCCTTTTGAAAATAGATTAATGGAGGGCTTTACGGAAGAGGGTTTACAGTGCAGGTTGGTAAAAAGTGCCTCCTCAGGGTAGGAGCTACACGGAAGGGGGTACAGTGGAGGTGGGTTAGTGGTATGATGGCTGTGCTGGAGGGGGGTTTTTACGTGGTAGAGGTAGGTATTGGTCTGATAGCTGTGAAAACACTTTACTGTAAAGTGTGGAAAACTCTCCTGCAGATATTCTTTTCCAAGCAGCATGTACCGAAAATCTGCATTTTGCGCTGTTCTGCATAAAAGATTTCTGATTTTCTTCATCTTCTTCTTCTTCTAAACAAAGTACCACCATGTTCTGCTATTAACCTGCCAGTACTGGATTTACTGTGCTGATTTCACTTACTGGTCATTTGCCGTTCCAATTTCAGCAGCGTACTCTTGTAGTCATTCAGTACTGAATCGACTGAATCCAGTGTACTGAAAATAATATTGGAACGGCGTCCAGTAAATTCAGTACTGACAGAGTTGATATCGGAACATAACCTATTTAAGGCTATGGTTCAAATATAACCAAACGTTAACCATTAGCTCTGTTCCAACAGACATGAGAACCATTCCAGAACCAATAATTTCCAGTTGCCCACCTATTTTTCAATAAGTTAAACTTTTTCCCTAATTGACAAATGGATTGATCGACTGGAAATTACCGTTCTAGAAAGGTTTTCATGTCTGTTGGAACAGAGCTAAAGTAACCGAATCGGTCAACAGATGTTTACTGAAAATTCCGGTTACTTTGGGAAACGCAAATATGGAAATAAAACATAATTGACAGAAGTTACAGATAAAACCTTGATAAAACCAACAGAACCGACATCCGATGGCCGGTAACTATTTTGACATTTGGTTAACCAGATTTCAGGAACCCGAGGTACAAAATCAACCAGTTTTCCAGGAACTAGAGAGGATTATCAGTTTTTATGTCTATGCTCGTGGGTGCTTCGCACCCACTGTTTACGTCTCGTGGGTGCTCGAGCTCCCGAGCACCCACGTAGTCGGCGCCCCTGGGCAGGCATCTAGTACATGTCTCAACAAATGGACTCAAAAAGCACTGAGCATAGTAGATAACTGGTGTAGGGATGAATGCTTGTCGGTTAATCCGCAAAGGACAGTAATTGTCCCGTTCACAAAGAAAAGATGAGTACCTACTTAAAAGGACTTCGTGTGCCATGGAAACAGCCCCAACCGCATCCTTGGAGGTGCTACTAAACCTGCCGCCACTAGGTACATATCTACATACAGGGTGAAGTAAAGGCGGTATTATACAGACTGAAGCAAGGCCAGGGTCCAATTATAAAACACCAAATAAGGCCCATGATCTGGAAAATAGAGGAGGATCCAGAGGTCAAGTAAATCTTTGAGATGCTCTCATAGAAAGCAAAACCTATTTTCATCTTCAATAGGCACTTCCGGGTTGCAGGGGAAGTCCGGCCCCCCTAGGCTCCCCTGTAATTACGCCACTGGTCGTACCAAGGAACATAAAATTAAAAGACTCAACTCAAGGAATCATAAACTAACAGGATTGCTCATTCTCATAAGGCGTACGTTCACCAATTCTCGAATCGGCAAGGCCTGCGAGTGACGTTATACCACTGTTAGCAGCATAGCAGACACATGATACTGGTAGTGGTGACGTGACGTCACCCGCAGGCCTCGATTGCATGCTCGCGATTCAGGTTGTGCTTGTTTTTCCTTCGATTGTAAATGTGGAAAAGGCGTATTTAAGAAAATTATAACCTTTATGAATTCGTTTTTTTGGCCTTTACTCGAGTACTTGCCATATTAGGCAATTTAAACCACGCGACATTCAAGATGGCGTGGCGGCCACACATGGGCCAAAAAACACAAAAAAATATCTAGTTTCTGCCCGATTTAATAATTTAGGTACCTAGCCTGGAATTACAGAAGCTCTGCAACACCAAGATACAAATTCAGGACCTGCAAGTCTGACTTTTCGTATTACAGAAGCAAAATGCATTTGCAGGTCGCCTGCAAATTTGCGCATGGTGAAACGGTCTTGCAGATCCTTGCAATCACATTGACAACTTTGACATTAAAACTGGTAAATCAGTAGCGCCCAAACGCTTTTTTGACGAAATTGCAGATTTTTTCTGTAATTTGCTCGGTTCTGCAAATAGAGCACATATGCAAGTCGGCTATATTTGCATCATGCAAATATACTGTAATTTGGCCCTTTAGTCAACAAATATTTTATTAAATAATCAAAATCAAAGCTGCAAGCAAAGCTCTAAGCAAAATAATTTAAAATACGCATAAAAACATAATCAAAACAAACTTACTTGGCCGCCACGCCATTGTGAATTTTCCATTTCGACAAATGGATTATTGCCTATATATTGCTACTATACATTTTTGCCAACAAACAAGAGAAAAAAGAAGAGATCAACACGAACGAGCAACATAACCTCAACTTCTTATCAATGATCAAACTCCTCAAAAAGTAAACAATAATAATGAAAGAAATTTTCTATAATAATTGAAAAGAATGATTAACAGCAAAGAAGAATTAGTTTATCTTCTATCTAAGCTTGATGAGGATGCCGTTTATGCTTTGGAAAAGACTGTGACGCAAGCATTAAAGAAAAGCAACAGTGCAAAAGGTACAATATCAATAATAATAATAATCACAAAACTTGTAATGTAATATACCTACAAAATTCCAGATGCCATTGAAAATATAATCAAATACTCGCCGGACTACATAAGTATATTAAGAAGAAAAGCCCTCAAAAGAGAATTGTTGTTTAGTTATTTAGAAGAACGAAATGTTGCGGTCAGATTGCCGGTGACCAAAAACGAATTAATTGACGTTATAGCAAACCTCTGGAAAATACCAAATACCAGTATTCAAAACGAAGAAAACACTGTTGCAACAAAACCTGAAAAAACCAATGTTGATTTGATGGCCGAACAATTTGCAAAATGGTTTTATTCAATGCTTAATGACAATCAATGTGGAGCTGAACATTTTTTTCCTGGTAGGTATTTTGTGTACATACATAGAAATTCCTCTGCAATACACCCCTATTTAAACAAATTTCAGATGCTAAATTCAAACTAAATATGCACAAAAACGGTAATTGCGATACAAAGGAAATCAACAATGACCCAGAAGAAATAACAAAAACCTTAAAAAACATTAAAATCCAATACAACATACATTTTAAACCAAATGAGACAAAGGAAGGCATCCAAGGCAGAATGGACCCACACGGACTAGTTTTAGTTTTATCCTGTGGCACTCTTTACATTAATAATACAATTGCTGGAGTATTTGAGCAAGTATTTGGCTTAGCAAGAGACCCTTTGAGCGACGATAACTGGAAAATTGCCAACAGTGAATTAAATTTAAGAGCCAGAAGCGACATTGAAACACCCAAATTGTGCGACAGTCAATTAACTAGGGGATTATTAATGTTGCCTTCTGAATAAATTAAGAAATCTGCAGTTATTATTATTAAAAAAAAAATCCTTATTCTAATAAATTATTACAAATTAATCTGCATCTTCAAATTCTTCTTCGTCGTTACCATTTTCTGTATTATTATAATTAATGTTAACTGAGATTTCTTCCATTCTTCTGGAAATATCTATAGCAGCTAAAATGCAATTATTTGTACAGGGGAAGATTACTGGATCGAATATTCTAACCTGTATCACCTCCAGCACCTCTACCACCATCATCCCCGTGATCTTCTTCAGCATCCTCATACAAATAATCATCATCTTCATCCATATCATCAGGATCTGGATTTTTCTCTTGGCATATTTTAATCGCCTCATAAATACCGTTTAAATTTTCACTGGTTTCTTCAGTTGGTACTAGAATTATTTCGCTTATTTCAGTTTCTGATTCAGCATCGTCGCTGTCCTCTTCAATGTGAGACTCATCTCCTGGCATGGTAATATAACCATCAACCATTATGTAGACACATTGAGTGGGATAGATTGTTTCGTCTTTGGAAATTGCGTGCAAAGTTACATCTGGGTAACCGATTGAAAAGCCTGCATCGTCTTTTTCTTGCCAGCATAGTGTTCTTAAAGAATATATGAGTTAAGGGTTGGTTTCTCAATAGTGAGTTATTTTTAACTCTAGGGTAAACGTGTCCAGTTGCCTGGAGTTAATGCTTAACCCACTTGCTATTGAGAAACCGGCCCTTTAAGGGATGAAAAAAAAAGGGTTGATTGTTACCTTTCGCTGATGAACAATGTACCGATTCCCAAATCTTTTTTATTCAAAATCGCTCGTACGTTTCTTTGCTGGTGGACTATATTCGAGTCGGGATGAGCGAATGAGTTTAATATTACCATTGTGGCACGATTATTTTGGAGATTATTCAAAGGAAAATGGAATGTTTGATTTTTGTTTACGTTATTTTTTTTCTCGTGACAATTTAGTTTGACAGATCCTTGGCAATTGCTACCTTTCTTTGCCACACACAAACTAAATCTGGCAACAATGTTAGCGAAGATTTTTATTTATTTTTAATTGTTTAAACATAAAAATTACTATAGAAAATGTTTAAATTGAATGTATTTTGACTTTTGAAATGCAATAGTTTCTGGAAATAAACTAAAATAATAAAGATTTCAGCAAAAATGAATGGTAGTACAATATGGCAACATTGGCGATTGACTGGCAAGTGCCCCATCAAATCTAGCAAAAAAAAAAGAAGAATTCCCTTGTTCCAAGTTGTTCCCTTGATAAACAATTTTTGAGGTTAGGAAACGTGTTTTTTCATATTTTTAACTTGCAAACGAGGGATTTTTTAATAAATTTTTGTCTTTTCGAAATAAAATCCATATAAAATGGCAGTACGTACAAATTTCGAAAGCAAAGACGAAATCGGAGTCTTTGCCAAATTGACCAACGCCTACTGTTTGGCCAGTATCGGGGGCTCGGAGATTTTCTACAGGTATTTATTTATTTTGCACTTAAAAGCTTTGAAAATTGTAAATTTGTACGTGTTTACCATCGTATTTGCAGAGTTAGGAATTATACAGGGTGTTCGGAATAACTTAAGTACATGGGGCAATTTGAATTACAAAATACAAGGGATAAACCTCCTTAGAATTATAGTGTACAAGCATGTGGGATTCCAGATTCTGTAGCTTCAAATTCACTTTCAAATGAGTTTTCCATAGAAACTTAAATTTATAATTCCTGAAAGTTTCAAGTCACTGCGATCATTAGGAGTATTTTGCACAAGGGATTTTTGCAGATTTTAATCATTTTCACATGCATTAACAAGAGAAAAAGCTTCCAAATTTAGTTTGAAGCTTAAAATCAACTTCAAATTAACTTTTCCAGAAAGAAGAAACTTCAATTCATAAATCCTGGAAATTTCAAGTCACTGTGATCATTAGAACTACTATGCACAAGTGATTTTTGCATATTTTATTTATTTTTGCATGCATTTACATGAGAAAAAACTTCTAAATTTAGTTAAATAGATAGCGCACACCTAACATGGGCTCTATGGATTTTGCCCATTTTTTGATATGTTGTAGAGGATTTAATTCTTAACAACCTTTAAATGGGAAGAAATCTTGTAGGTATTACGGTCTTTGAGATATGAGTATTGAAAGATGAACTTTTTTGCGACTTTTGTGTGGAGAGTATACGAAATACTGGTCACAAGTAGAGGTGAGTTGCGATTTCACAAACTGTGACTTTGTAACTGCTACTGGTCTGTCACAGTCACAGACTGCTCCAGTCTCACTCAAGTAGCAGTTGATCGATACAGCGCGGACTAAACTCAAGACAGTGGTGGAAATAATGAAAAAATATTATCACATATTATTATAAATCGCATCGCGGTGACGCAAAATAGAAACTGCCACTGTAGAGGGCAGATTGGAATATCTTTCTCGGTCGTGCCTGCGAACTGGGCGGACTGCGATTATGTAATATAGGATTTGAATGTATTACCAGTACGGCCAGTCAAGGATAAACTGCTCCAAAAAATCACTGCTATTTGTCACCGTGACAGGACTGGAGCAGTCACGTCTTGTCACAGTTCCAGTAAAATCGCAGGTTGGCCCACCTCTAGTCACAAGTCAAAATATTGACAGGTTCACATATTTTACGTCACTAACAAATGTCAACATAGGCTAAGGCCGGGACCACACTGCGGCGCCAACATTGGTCCCAATACAGTCCCGGCCTTAGCCTATGTTGACAATTGTTGACATTAATTTGTTGTGATGTAAAATATGTAAACCTGTCAATATTTTGACTGATAAAAACCAGTAGCACCAGTATTTCGTATCAGTGTTGCCACCCCTATTACACTCGTAATAGATCTATTACAATCAAGTAATTTCTATTACGCTATTACCAAAGGAAAAAATCTATTACTTTTTCGGGAAAATTATGTTTTGGTGAATAAGCAATTGAGAAATTTTACAGGCATCATAAATTATCACATCAAACCACACAGAACACTTTAAAAAAACATCTTTTGTCAATGTTGTGTCCTTTGTACGTGAAAACTGAAAACCGGTGAATGAAAATGCTTCACTTTCATTTTCATAATAGGTTTGTTCGGACTTAGTTCAAAATCAGTTCTGAATTGAGCTGCGCATGCGCATTTGTTTATTTATATTCGGTATGCACAAATGCGTGAGCACAGTTCAATTCAAAACTGATAACTGATTCTGAACTAAGTGATTCTATAACTAAAGAATAAATAATAATCCTATACCTATATCTAATTTATGGCCAAATGAGTAAATTGAGCATAAAAATAAATACGGCGCATAATGGTGGAGCGCCTATTCAATATTTTGGTTATCTCTCATGCATAACTGACGGAAGTGATAGATGAAAGAATTTATTACCAAAAAGTCAAATCTAAAATTACAATTTTGGCTTCGATCTATTACATTTAATTTTTATGCGGTGGCAACGCTGTTTCGTATACTCTCCACACAAAAAGTCGCAAAAAAGTTCATCTTTCAACGGTCATATCTCAAAGACCATAATACCTACAAGATATCGTCCCATTTAAAAATTGTTTTTTTTTTTTTAATTTATTTATTTATTTATTTATGACTCAGAATCAGTGTAAATACACTGGTATTTGAGCCTTGTTAAGAATTAAATCCTCTACAACATATCAAAAAATGAGCGAAATCCATAGAGCCCAAAAATCCCATATTAGGTGTGCGTTATCCTTTACTTTTCCACAAAAAGGAAACTTCAATTCATAAATCCTGAAAGTTTCAAGTCACTGTCGGCTATTTGCACCGCTTTAACTTAAGGGATATTTAAACCCAGTGGAGCTTTGAATGTGACTCTTATAGAAACAAAAGTCAAATTCAAAGCTCCACTTGGATTAAATATCCCTTAAGTGATAGCCGTGCAAATAGCCATGTGACCTCTTATCAAGTTAGCAATACCACATGCACACCAGAAAATGGCATTAGTGATTTATATGTTATGACTTTTATAAGTTTTCAGAAATCTAAATCCTAAGGTTTGCCTGGCAAAGTTCTTTAGCATTCGGCTATTTTTATATGACCTAGTAGGCTTATTCCACTTGGAATCACGTTGTGCAGCTGACACCCAACAGCAAATCATAATTCAACCATTTCTCACCGGTATCCGGTAGTGTCCCACTGCTAGACTTACCTTAAATAGTATAATTGTGCAACAAATGGGATCCTAATCTATTATGGTGGACGACTTCCCCAGGGGACACCAATTTGACCAATTACCAAAAAGGAATAATCAAACCATGATTTTTTGCCCTGGATGTCAGTGAAACGCAACTTCAATTGGTAAAAATGGTAGTCATTTAAATAGGAAGTTATTGAAAACATTTACAGCCAAATGCTCAAAGCCCAATACCAAACTTGTTCAACTAGATATAGGTGAATTCTTTTGGAATGTTTATAAGTGCATAAAGGAACTTTTCTAGGACTTGTGGGGTGACTGAAGGGCCGGATCAGAAGGCTATAAATATTTAGTTGTTGGTACTTATGAAATTTAATAATTTGTACACTAATCAATTATCGGAAAATTCTGTCAAGAATGCCCTCTAAACTAAACTCAAAATGCTATAGTAGACGCGTACAATAAGTTCAACTACTGACACTTCTTTCTTTGACCTGTCATTAATATCGCACTTTTTACACCATTCGTATCGTTTAGCGAACATTTTTCCAGTGTAGTTAGATGGTTGCGTTCCAAAACATAACTGCACTGCACTAACGTTAACGGGTTCAGACAAATCGTAGGCCCCAAGTATATAGTTATTATTTTTTTAATAGCCTATTCCTCCACAATAGCAATAGCTAGAAGTTCCTTCTTTACCATATTGTCATGAAAATATATATTTTTTAGACTTCTGGGAAAATTGGAAATTCAACCTTTTTAAAAAAATTCTTCGAAAATATAAATAAATGTTTGTTTTCTACTATTATAATTAATGTTCTGATGTAAACGCACCTGAGGTTAGCCAATGCAATTTCTATAGTTGACTTAATTGGTCATAAATGGCGCTCTGTATCAACCTTAAAATGACTGGATTTACATCTTTTGATCAAAAATCTAAAAATAAAAATGCGTAGAGACCAGAAAAATTTTCCTAGCCCTGCACATTTGAATGTTATTTTAATCCCATTCCCCTATATTTGTAATTTTTCAGTACATTTGAAGCAGAATTAGGAGATTCAATCCCGGTAGTCCACGCCTCCTTGGCAGGCTGTCGAATAATCGGCCGCATGTGCGTGGGCAACAGAAAAGGCCTCCTTGTACCAAGTTCCACCTTTGACCAAGAACTCCAACACCTCAGAAACGCTCTGCCCGATTCCGTAAAAGTACAAAGAATCGAAGAACGTCTATCAGCCTTGGGCAACGTCATAACTTGCAACGATTACGTCGCCCTCGTCCATCCCGATTTGGACAGAGAAACTGAAGAAATTATATCAGACACTTTAGGAGTTGAAGTTTTTCGTCATACGATAGCAGGCAATGTACTTGTAGGTTCTTATTGTGTTTTGAATAATAGAGGCGCTTTGGTGCATCCGAATACTAGTATAGTTGATCAAGAAGAGTTGTCTTCGTTGTTACAAGTGCCTTTGGTAGCTGGTACAGTAAATCAAGGCAGCTCATTGGTTGGAGCAGGAGTTGTAGTCAACGATTGGTGCGCTTTTACCGGGATGGACACGACGGCGACTGAATTGGCCGTTTTGGAGTCGGTGTTTAGGCTTAATGAAGCTGAACCGAGCAAGATTGCGCAGGAAATGCGTGCCAGTCTTATTGAAGGGTAAGAGAATTTCAATTGGGTTTTAATTGTTTTGATTTTAACGTTTTTTATTTATTTGTAGGATGTCATGAAGATGATTTGGTGGACATAAGACAAGAAGCTGGGATTGTAATTATTATTAAGCTAAAAAAAAATAAGTGTCATTTTACATTATAAAACTTCTAATGTTTTTTTTATTTTATTTGTGAATCTATTTGAAAAAAAAAATAACGCTCCTATTATTAGTGCTTGATGTGACTTTTAACTTTTTCCTTTATCAGTTTGACTGAAATTTTCAGCGATTCTTGTTCCAGTAGAAGACTACAATCCCTGAAAAATTTCAGCTCATTTACACTTATAATAGTCCCTGAGATAAAATCGTGTTAAGCAATTTGGGGTGAATTATCAATTGTTCAATTTTTCTGAGTGCTTTTTTTCATAGATTTCGGCTTCAAATCTGAGAATAATTTTGTGTATAGAGTTTGGGGTATGTTGATTGACCATTAGGATACAAAATCTCGACAAAAAAAAGATTGAAATTTCATCGTTTTAGTAAGAAGGTGTCCCCCTTATGATTTTTTTGGAAAACTTTGATAGCTCGTAACTTTTTTTCTATTATAGATAGAACGCTGAATCTTTCACTGAATTTTATCCCTTTATAAGGACTACAATCCCTGCACTTATAGTTCCTGAGATAAAATCGTGATAAGCAATTGGGGTGGTTTATCAATTTTTCTGAGTGCCTATTTTCATAGATATCTGCTTCAAATCTGAGAATTATTTTGTGTATGGAGTTCAGGTTATCACTCGGAACATATTTTACTGCTTCGAACCTGGAAGCTAAGTGTAAGAAGAGGCAACAGCGCATTTGCCCCACCTCGAAAATTCGGATCTGTTAAAAACAGCTGTTAGAATGAAGTTTAGCAATTTCACAAAATAAAATCTATTTGTTTATAAAATTTGTTTAAATATTGGCCTTAACGGACGATGGCAGGCAACAAAAAGATTGAAGAAGGCCTCGAGCTCATTAAAAGTGCCGAAAAACAGTAAGTAGTACCCTCGGTAGTACCTATCGTCCTTGCTTATAATAAATAATCACAAATACATTTTTCTAGTTTAAAAACTTCCCTGCTCAAGTGGAGACCGGACTACGAAAGTGCCGCCGACGACTACAACAAGGCGGCGACTTGCTTCAAAAACGCCAAGTCCTACCAGCAATGTAAAGATTGTCTGCTGAAAGCCGCCGAGTACCATCAACAGAACCGCGGCCTGTTTTATGCTGCTAAGGCTCTAGACCAGTGCATATTGATATGCAAAGAAATGGGCGATATTAGGGATATTTACGTTATGGCCGAGCGTGCCGCATACATGTTTCAGAGTCAAGGGAATCCAGATTCGGCTGTGGCGACTTTAGAGAAAACTGCCAAGATATTAGAGTCTCAGGTACCGATGGAGGCTTTGAATCTTTATAGGCATGCTGCTGAAATTTCCGGGGTAAGAATTCAACAATAAGTTATATTATGTTGTTGTTTCACTTCCATTAATTATTATGGATTATTTGTGGTTTGATTTAGACTAAGGCAAGAGTTCTTTTCACGTGGCTCCGGTTTAACTAACCGGGTTACGAAACGGTTAGAGAAATGACATACCGTTTTCTAACCCGGTTACAAAGTGACGTGATGGATACCTACCACTCGAATTTGAGCGGTATGTTGCGGTTTGTTAAACCGGAGCCACATGAAAAGGGTTAAGGATTCAGAAGACTACAATCAAATCAAATCAAAAACCCTTTTCACGTGGCTCCGGTTTAACAAACCGCAACATACCGCTAGGTATCCATCACATCACTTTGTAACCGAGTTAGAAAACGGTATGTCATTTCTCTAACCATTTATAACCCGGTTAGTTAAACCGGAGCCATGTGAAAAGAACTAAATAGTTATTTTTGTATCAAGGGCGCGAAATGCTACTTCGGTGATCGAGATCTGATTGTTGAGATCACCAAGTATTTCGCGCCCGAGTTGCAAACAATATTTTTTCTACAACTCCATTTAAATATCAATCATTCGAAGCCAAAATTGCATTTTCAATCAAAGGTAGCCTGGAATTATAGAAGCTCTGCAACACCAAGATACAAATGCAGGACCTGCAAGTCTGACTGTTCGTATTACAGAAGCAGAATGCATTTGCAGGTCGCCTGCAAAATTGCGCATGGTGAAAGTGGTGAAACGGTCCCGCAAGTCTTTGCAATCACTTTGACATTTGAAACTGCTAAATCAGTAGCGCCCAAACACTTTTTTCCAATAAATATGACAAAATTGCAGATTTTTTTTTCTGTAATTTGCTTGTTTCTGCGAATAGAGCACATATGCAAGTCGGCCATATTTGCAGAACTGCTAATTTGCAGATGTAAATATACTGTAATTTGGCCCATAATCAACAACGCATACGCAAATCAATTGGTAGCGCCTCTACCGGGCATGAAACAAGTTTTTTACCAAACCAAGTCGTACATTTAAAGATTGCGGGGTATGTTTATTGTCCAGAAAAAACTTACCATTGACAAAGCATATCAACTTACTTAAATAATAAAATAATAGAACTTAATATCTATAATAACAATTTAAAGTTTTATCTACATTAAACATAATATGTTCACAAGGTGTCTCCACAGAATTCTTCAATATTAGTGATGTAAAATTCCCGAAACATTCAAAAGTTGCGAACATTCTCGGAAACTTTCCGGGAATATTGGAAACTTTCGGGAACTTATGAAAATATTGTTTTTTTTTTTTAAATTTATAGCAAAATCAGGCAAATCGTAGTAAACATTATTCACCCCCTATTGTAGTGTTTCTGTAAGATCAGCTAAAAATTAAACTATGTATTAAAAACACTTTTATGGATGGTTGAATAAGACTTTAAAGGAAAAGCTGATCCGATTAACCCAAATCAAATCAAGTTTATTCATAAGTTACACAAAATATAGTGTTTTTACACGTCAATAGTACAATAGATAAAAAAAATACTAACATAACACTCAATTTATACAAAATAAAAAAAGCATATACTAAATAACATGAAACACATAAAGTACATTAGATTTAAAATATTTCTGTGTCCAGGAATTCCTCTATACAATAATAGGCCCACTCTATGAGGTGCTGTTTCACGCAGGCATCAAAAGATTTTTGAGACATACTCTTCTTAACATGATTTGGCAGTTTGTTGTAAAATACCGGACAATAATAATTGATTGATACACGAGATCGTTCCAATCTGTGAAAATCGACCCTTATATTATCCCCGCGTCTAGTTAAGTAATCATGATAAGAGCTATTGTTATTATAATATTCAATGTTCTTCCTACAGTAAAGAACACACTCATAGATATATCGGCTTGGTATTGTCAAGATTTTTAACTGAATAAACTTTTGCCTCACTTCATCTCTGTATCCGAGCCTTCAGCCCTGCCACAATACGCATCGGCCCTTCTGTGCAGTGCAAATATACGTTTGGCATGTGCTGAATGCCCCCGTGTCAGGATACTGTAGACACCGACGGACTGGAACAATGCATTAAATGTCTGCTTTAATGCGCCTTCCGGAAGCACACGAGACAAGTTTTTCAGCAGAAAAATACTTTTAGTCAGTCGTTCTGCTGTGTGGTTCACACATGAATTTCGAATTTTAGTGTAGGATCAAAATACACTCCAAGAAATTTCACTTCCTCGACATTTTCATTTATTTCTCTCAGTCCATACGCTATATTCACAGTTTTTGTTTCATTTAAAGTTAGTCTATTGTTGTTAGTCTATAGTCTATCCAATCTATCGGCTTTTCATTTTTTATCTTTCTTCAATGAAGATTATTTTAAAAAAGACAAACTGTAGGCTGTAGGAGTGCAGGCATTTTACCAATATTTTTGCGCACGCTTTAACATTTGCCTGCCCTGGCTAACTTTTGACAGCCGCCATTTTTGACAGTTCGTTGGAATGCCCTATTATTCTTTCAAGATACAGAAGTAAAAATCAAAAGGAACTCTTCTCAAGATTGCTACACACAAAATCCTACAAAAACACTAAAACAGAAAAACTATCACAAAAACCCACTAGAAATTTTCAAAAATCTGGGTTTTTGCTCTCCAGATTTCCCTACTAAAGACTTTTGGATATCTCCTGTAGATTATACACAGGATATCCCATTGTGGATGACCCCTCCACAAATAGTATCTAGATGCCCCCCTTTGAAATTTTAGGTCTGCTCGTACAGAAATCACAAACCAGTCAGAGCGAATTTCATTGGTTGGAAACAGTCAGAAAACTACACTCTATTTTTTTCCAAGATAGATTTTGACATTGTCAACTTTGAAACATAAACAATACCGCTTGGCCCTGATTAGTCGCAAAATGAGGTGACCCTGCAGGTTGACATCAGTTTTACAATGCAACTCATGCAAATGGCATCTTTCAACCAATAAGCGGCATTGTTTATGTTTCAAAGTTGACAATGTCAGATTCTATCTTGGGAAAAAATAGACTATAGTTTCAACCGATGAAATTCACTCTGACTGGTTTATGATTTCTCTGTGAACAGACCTTTTGTAAATCGGGATGGGATTCTTTTCTCCGATAATAAAAATAAACTGCTTATTTAATGTGATTTCAGGTATTTAGTCAAAGAGTATAGTAAATGATAGTATTTATTAGCACCCACTGCTTCTACTTCTACGCTTTTCTGACTTTTCAGATTGCTATCACACATATACCCAACAATACTGTGGCGGTAGTCAAAGTTGTTCCCAAGCAAACGCCAATGTAAAACTAAAACTAGCCTCTTATAACTGACACCAGAGGTGAAATCCGAAGGCGAAGTGGAAGTAGGAGGATAATTTATTTACTGAATATAGTCTCAACTTGCTGCTGATAAAAGGAGGTCCTGACATTGATTTCTCATTACTTAATTTCTGATGTATTTCCTGTGTATTCTCATGTATTCCTTTGTTTTCTCATGTCTTTCCACATAAATCTTTCCAATTTGCTGATTAATTTTTAAATTATTTGCATCAAAAATTATCATATACATAGTATTAAAACTCATTATTTTTTCTTTTTAATACATACAGATTCAAGATAATCAACGTGCATCGGCAGAATACACGAGTAAAGTGGCAAGAATCCACGTCAAATTGCAACAGTTCGACGAAGCTGCAGACGCGATTAGACGAGAAATCGGCCTCCATCAAGCTCATGAGTCAATTCAAGCCGTCGGCCGTTTGGTAGTGGCCCTAGTACTGGTCCAATTGGCCAGAGGCGACATTGTTGCTGCTGAAAAAGCTTTCAAAGAATGGGGCAAGTGATTTGTACAGTTTTTATTATCTGTTTACTTCATACCAAAAAACGTATCTCTTTGCATTGCATCCAGAAGGGGATCTCGTTTGATTTTGTATGCCGTTGGGTCTTCTTGGTCAGGTTTTGATAGGGCGATAGTAATAACGACCAACATGGCTATAACCGAGATAGTGAAAATGTCACACATTGTTTTTTTTTTTTGTGAATTTTGATGACAGATTCGAAGTTTTATTAAAATGGTTCTTCAATTGTTGAATCAAAGTTAAATAAAATAAATTCAATCTTTTCTACTTGCAAAATTTCAATCCAATCACTCCAAAATTTTCCTCAAAAATAAACTAAAATGTCCCTGAGGCCCGAGTCATTTTAGTACTTATGATTTGGACTTTTTTTTGTATCATAAATAGAAAGTTGAAATTTTCAAAGATTCTTATCTTTGATTTCAATGAATTCCAGGTAATTACTGCGATCCGCCCGAAATCCAAAACCTGGAAATGCTGTTGCAAGCCTACGACGAAGAGGACAGAGACAACGCAATAAGGGCCCTGAACGACCCGTTCATCAAACACATGGACGTCGAGTACGCGATTTTGGCGAGAGATTTGCGTTTGCCTCAGGGCAATGCCGTTGTACAGAAGAAACCTATCGTTGAAAACGCCACTGATGAATATAAGAGGGTGCGACCTCAAAATGATGAGGTATTAAATTTATGATAACCCTAACAGCGTCTTTAAGTATGAATAACCAACTAAATCACTACTCCAAATTTCAGTACATGGAATCTAAAAAACTGAACTTTTTTGAGTGAAATCATCAAATTTTGGAGAAGAATCTTGCAGGTGATCAAACTCATCGATTATTAGCTCCCCCTAAGAAAACGGGTTAATCTGTGGCCATGACACAAGACAGAAAAACTTGTTCATACCAGCTTTTCGTAGGTCGAAGAAGTGTCAGGACAGTTCGGGCTATATTATTATTATTATTTTTATTTTGAATATCTCAGTTTTTGTGCTGGTCAATCCGCAACTACGGTCGAATGGCAAGTAATTGCATTTGGGTCTTTATTGAGTAAATGGGTTTCCCACGTTTAATAGCTATTCGTTCTGTTTCTATGTGTTCATTATCTGTGAATAAATGAATTGAGGTTTTTCATGTGGCCATTGCAGTGGAGAGGAAGTTGCGAAGTTTTGGATGCAATTTGTAAAGTTGTAGGACTTTATTCAGTCATGAACGTGGGACTGAGTCAAATGCTTTCTTATTGTCTACGTAGCATACTTGTAGGTTTTTTTGTTGCTTTTCAGGTGGTTTCGTTATGACACTGTCAATAATTAACTGCTTCTCACATCTTTGACTGTTTTGCCAACATTCTCTCTATTCCTCTGTTAATAATTCGTTTTTGGTAAAGTGTTGTTCTATCTTCATGCATCAAATTGACGTTATTATTTTATATAAAGTTTGTAGACATGTTATTGGTCGATAGTTTGCTGGGTTTTTCGTGTCACCCTCCTTTGATAGCAGGTATGTTTTTCCTTCAGTTAAGTTGGCATGGAACTTGAATTTTCTATTATTTTATTTATTTTAGATATCAGATAAGGGTGTAGCGTCGTAAGTTGTTTATACCAGAAGATAGCATATTCCTCCTTTCGTTTCTTTATACTCTCAATCAATAGGAAGGCAATGACAAAATTATTAGGACATTCGCCAACTGATTTAAGAGTTTGTAGAGTCTCTTCTCCCTTTAATAAGTTTATCACACCAGCTCTACCAGGCCTTTCCTTCTCTGTTGTAAATCTTTTTGAATGTGGGAATTTCTCTCTGATACCTGTACAATCTCAGCATTCAGTCTTGATCTGTCTTTCCTATAGTTCTTTATTTCATCATAATGTTCTTTTCCAAAAGCTTCACGAGGCAGATGCTTAGTTTCACTAACAAACATAGGTACCATTTTCCTTTTCTAGAATCTCGATGGAAACTTTCAAGTTGCTGTTCAATACCTTTAACTCTTCCAGGTTGTCCCGCGTTAGATGTAATAGAGGAACTTCTGTCAGTTTACTTGTATAATCTCAGCATTCAAGCTTGATATTTCTTCTCTGTAGTTATTTAGTTCATTACTAGTTCTTTATCATAGTCCATCTTCAAACATTTGTGAATTTCTCCAGAGTCCGCTCATATATTTATCCTTTTCCTGGATCTTCCTCGCTAGTTCTTCCACCTTCTTTTGCAGTTGCTTATCAGTTTCAAGGCGTTGGCACTCATCTATGTTTCCATATTTTTATGCCTTTTTCCACTTTCTATTAAAATAGCTCTAATGAAACATTTTTCCAAAACATAAACAAATATACAAAAAAAAATAAAATAATTAAGAATCTGTAATCTGCATCATACCCTCAGAAACATATTTTTGGGATTTTTTTAAATAATTTTCTTTTTTCTGCTCCAAGTATGTTCCAACTGACTCCTACAAAGCTGGGGACAACAATGAAGAAGCTTCCAGCGGACACCAGCCCGAAGACGATGACGAATACTCAGGAGGAGGATTGTGCTAGAACTTATTCTCAATATCAACACAAACAGTAATTTTGCTCTCGCTATTACACTTAAAAATTATCCAAATTAGAATAATAATAATAACTTGCTAAAAGCGAAATTTTACTTAGATGTAACTTAAATGTTCCGTACTATTTTTGTGTAAGTATAAGTAGGGGTATATGTATATATTTTTTCGCCACAATAAGCCATATTATAGTGGTGTATTTTGATAAAAGTAAACAGTGGAACTTCAATTGCACGGGCACGAAAATTGGAAAAAATCACATCAGTCTCATTTTTGCATATGTATGAGTAAGCCTATAAAGACAATCAAGAATGAACACATAATTGAGGTTCCATATTGTAGACATTATCAGGATTATTTTTATATGTTCAGTATATTGAAAAATGCTATTCAATTTTATTTGCTCGTCCATGCACTCGCTTTTCCTAATAGGGGAGGAATCGTGTCACTGGCCAGCAGGAGGACCTTGGAAAATGAGTGGAGGGGGTCGGCGAAATCGTCTCATTATCTACTGTTGGAGCAAGCAAAGAATTTATTATAATCCTGGTATATACCCAGATTTTATATACTGACCTGTTGGAAACATACAGAATGTCCAAAATATCATGTCCCACTTATTGCTAACTTGGAATCAGAAAAGATACAAGTTCAGTTAAAAAGATAGCAATAGTGGTAGGTACATTGTATTTTAGACACCCTGTATATGTATTTATATACCCACCACTGACATTAAAATGTTTTATCAGAGGCATAAGAAACCTTAATTATTGCTTAGCATACCAAAAAATTAATTAAATGTAGTATTTATTGTGATCGATATTGTTGCATTTTTAGCTGCTAAATTATAAATTGGCATAAATCTGTAAATAAAATACAGCTAATAGTTGTACGATTAATTTTAAACACACTCGTTATATTGTGAAATAAAAACAACCAAAACATAGGAAAATAGTTTTTATTTTATAATTAAATATATTATATACAAATAACAGATTGGGTTTTTTGACAGAGACGTTACACGGGGGACTGAAAAACCATTGAAGAGGTTCATTTTGTTGCACAGAGTATTTATCAGCTAATTTTGACTAGAACCATTGAAACAGTTTAAAAAGGGCAGTTACATTATTAGGTATACTAAAAATATGTGGCTTTTTTTTTTTTAAATATATGTATATCCTAACTACGTATCTAAGTAAATTGACCCAAATTGGACATTTTGTCTAAAGACAAGACTAACAAAACATTGCTAATTGTATTTGAAAAAAAATTTAAGCTCGAAATAATAGGTATTTTCAAATAATTAACCGACCAATTTGAGCCACAATAATAATAATTGTATATTTAAAAAATAAAATATTTGAAATAACCTCACAGTCGTAGAGATATTTTAGCACAAGTCATATAAATAACAACAAAGAATAATTTCACAAGACATGCTCCATAAATGCAATAATACTTTGGTGTGACTCCATTTAGTTGCAACTTATCGTTTCGATACAATAAATCACACAAACATCGACACTTGACCAAAATAAACTAAAGGTGGGTTCAATGTAAAAACATTGAACAATTAATTGACTACTTATTTATTTAGGCTTTCCCATAGTTCGTCGTCACCCCATTTGTCTTCCACCACAGGTTTCTTGGCTTCTTTTTTCTTTTCTTTCCGATTTGTCGCTTTAGCTTCCGTGGGCGACGTAGTTATACTATTACTAGCACTAGCGGAATATTCCCTTGAAATATAAAAAAATTAACTTTGATAAAATTAATAATTTCCTTTTTAACTTACTTATAATCAGATTGGTATCCTCCGGTGGGCGTGTCATTCTGATAGCCCCAACTAGATGATTCCCAATTTGGCGATTTTGGACTAGAGGCTCTGGAAGGTAAGAATTATACCATTATTGCTTGCAATTTAAAACTCTTCAGGGTAAAAAAGACCTTTAAAAGGAAAAAAATTAAGTATCACAATCATTAAAAACTTCCTAAATATTAATAAGTATGTACTTGTTTTTGTCTACTTAAAAATCCTCCCAAAAGGCATCGATGATGCTTTAATGCTCTCCTAGTAATGTAATTTCCAGTAATATAACTCTACTAAAAGAAATTTAATTTTAAAAACTAAATAAGTTCAACCTAAAGAGCCAATAAATAGGAACATTGTCAAGAAAACTTCATATCCTGAATTCGGAGTCATTACTCTGATTCTATGAAAGTTTCGCAAGATCCTGAATCTCAATTAATTACTTTGCAAAGTTCCTTCTGTGACAATATTGTTAGGATTTTCATATTCATAGGACCTTCAGATTCTTAATTATTGTTTTCTTGCAAAAGTTCTGTTTTTCCTTGAGAAGATTTTACAGATCTTCAGATCCCATGAACTCCCAGAATATTGTAAATTTCTTGTCGCCTTTATGAAGAAAGTCCAGAAAATTTCTATAGGGTCTAAATTCTAATCTTTTCGTGCAAATTTTTAATTCTTTGAAAAGTCTGCCAAGATTCTGAATCTCCACTCATTACTTTCTAATCTTCCTGGTTTCTTCTTAGAATTTTCAGATCCCCTCAGATTCGTAGGTCCTTCAAATCCTTAACTAATTGTTCTTTTGCAAATGTTCTGTTTTTCTTCAAGTCAATGAGATTCTGGACTTAAGATCCTGAAATCTGAGTCATTAATATGCGAATTTCTTGATTTTTGTTTGGAAATATTTATTTTCAAGATCCTGAATATCCAGTCGATACTTTGCAGATTTCCTAATGATTTTTCTTTGAGAAAAGTGTCCAAATTGTGAGATTCTGCGATGATTGAAAAAGTTTCAGTGATTTTGGGAAGAAAAACAGCCTCTTACTTTGCAAGTTCCCTTATTTTTCTCTAGAAACACTTTTAAGATCCTGCATCTACAAGTATCACTTTGCAAACTTTCTGGTTTTTCTGAGAGAAGATGTTTGAGTTATTACTTTGCATATTTCGTGATTTTTCTCTGATGAGACCCTCAAAATCATGGGTGTTGAGTTTTTGCTTTGCAAACTTCCTGGTTCTTCTAAGATAAGATACTTTTTAGTTAGACTCTTCAGATATTTAAGTTCTTTGTTGAATTGTTGCCTTGCAAAAGTTTTATTTTCCTTGAAAAGATTTTACAGATCTTCAGAAACTGGACCCCCAGACTATTAAAAATGACTTGGGGCCTTTATGAAAAAAGTCCAGAAACCTTATATTATTGAGTCATTACTTTGCGAATTTCCTGACTCTTGTTTGAGATCCTGAATAACCAGTCAATACTTTGTAGATTTCCTAGTTGTTCTAACGATCTTTTCAGATCTTCTAAGGCCGGTCCTCCATTAATGCGCCAACAATTTGTTTCTGGCGAATGGAAGACAAATGTCGTAAGAAAATTCTCGAGTTTGTTCACTTCTAACTGTTTTTCATTGACGTTGCACATTACTTTTTGTTGGAATCACTCGTAAAAATACCTTCAACCTCAAAATCGATGTACTTTTTAACCCTCTTCAAGGTTTGTATGCGAAAATGGGGCACCTAAATATGTCACAATGTGACGGTCTAATAGGTCTGTCTCTGCAGAAATCACAAACCCATCAGAGCGAATTTCATTGGTTGAAAACAGTCCTAATATTATTATTATTAAATGCCTAATCAGTCTACAATATGTGTTACATCGTTTTGGTTATTCTAGTTACTCACTTTGATCCTTGTTGACTTCCAGTACTCCAATCATCCCCGAAACCGTTTCCACTGCCAACCAAAGAAGACCTTTCTCCCGGCGAATGGTAATTCTCTCCACCGACTTGCCCATACCCACCAGATTGGTAACCTGGCGGAGACGCTGTAGTACCTCCCATTTCCTTCCAACCTTTGCGACCCAACTCTCCCATCTAGAATGAAATTAGTTCCGATTTGAATACACACAGGCTGAGATTAATCTATAAGTGAACTTCAAGATTAGTTACCTTGTTTGCCAAATTAGATACTTGCGAACCGACATCGTCAATCAAAGTGCCTTCTTTTACCTACAGTATAACCAAAAGAAGAAACAAAAAAATAATAAAATAATAAATAACTAAAACAATATAACAATGGAACAAACCAAATAAAAAAAAAACGAAACTAAACAGAAAAAAAAAACGAACCTTTTCGCCTACATGAGAACTAATATCAACTACCTTCTGTGTGGCGATTCCTCCATATTTCACTACGTTCTCTGTGGCTTTGTTGGCTACTTTACTGGCTGACGTTGAAAGAAAAGACCAACCCTAGAACAAAAAAAAGCTATACTTTGGACAACTTCTAATTATTTATTGGAGCTATAAGTTTCAGGACTCTAAAAAAACCACATACTTACACTAGCCAATGAAGACAAAGCAGTATCTACAAATTCCTGAGATTGACTTCGTGGTGGTGCCTCTCTAGTGTAACCAAATCCGCTGTATTTGCCCCCTTGGCTCGGAGGGAGATCACTATTAAAAATTAATTAAAAAAACACGAATTTTGATTAACTCTTAATTTACACTTACTCTCTTTTAGAAGCGTTTTCGTATTGTTTTTTAGCGAAAAACTGCTCCTTTTGGTCCTTGAACTCTGGCGAATTGTAATTTTGATATCCGCCTTGATAGCCTTCGGTAGATGAGTCATTATTGGATTGATACGAAGAAGCTGAAGCTGAATAGTTGCTAGTTTGACTTGACGGCGATATATAGCCGCTATTGAATTTTTGAGCTGATGATTTCTTTTCGTCCCAGGGTTTACCTTGGGCCAGGGTGGATATCTACAATTACAAAAGTTTTTTTGTTTGGAAATTCACAATCTGATGTCCACAGGAACAGGTAAATTTATCACCTTTCCCTATCAAATAGCATTGAAAGGTGATAAATTTTACCTGTACCCCGAGAACATCGGATTGTGAATGGATAATATACCTTATCTCTATATAAAGCAGCCGCTTTGGTGTTGTATTTTTGTTGTATCGACATTGTATCATCCCAATCTTGTTGGGCCTCGAAAAACACCCTAGCATTTCTGTTTCCGCCAACCTAAAAGGGCCAACTATTAAATTACAAGAAAGTTAATAAAGTGATTATAATTGCCTTCATTTTTTCCAATTCAATGTCCTTCCATTTGTCCATGGTAACCGATCGGACAAACGATAGATGGACTCCTAATCCGCGGTGTTTGCCGGAACATTCCAGACAGATCCAGATGCCGTAGGTCACCGATACCCATTGGGGATTGTGTGTGCCACATTCGAAACATTTCTGGAATTGAATATAGGGATTGAGTAAAAAGAACGACTACTGTTAAGAAGTTAAAAGGCGATTTGAGAAAAAAAAAAAAAATAGAGTACAAAAGAGGCTTTTTAAAAGCAAAAATCAAATAATTTAATTTGGTCATACGCGTTCGTTTATCTCTTAATAAATACATTACATTCAATTAGTTTAAAGTGCAGATTAATTGAACATTTTATTGGTACCAAAAGTTCGCTGAAGTTAAAATCTTGAATGTTGAAATCATAGATGTTATATGTCATCTGTGTAACAATAAACTTTTCGATACTTTGTGCTGCGTTTCAAGTCTGTGAGGAAGAAATTAAACACCAAAGGTCCCCTTCATTAAACACCAAAGGTCCCCTTCTGCACAAGCAATTCGTGAGACAGTGGCAAGTTTTGCCCCTCAATTCGACAGTTTGGGGTCTGTTAAACATGTAATTCTTAAACTTATACATTATTGGATCACAAGCAGAACCAAGGACGTACATAAAGGAGGGTTTTGGGGGTTCAAACCCTCCCCCATATAACTGAATAAATTATTTTTTTTTAAGAAAAATCAACGTTTATGGGCATGGCTCCCGAAAAAAATTTCTGCCTTCAGCGATATTCTTTGGCAGCTATGATATGCCAGGTTACCTATATATCTAACTGAACTAAAACAGTAAGTTAAGATTAATAACTACGTTTCTCGTGAAATTATTGTATCATTAGGTGGGTCACAGGGTGGACACCTTTCGCAATTTTTGTTCAATTGTTACATGAATGATTTACAGAACCATTTGGTACATTAAAAAAAAACTTCAACTTGGTGTAGCTTAAATGACCAATAACTGAATCCTGACGAATATAATACATTAATTGTGGAGTTGTTCGATCAGTCGATGATTATGCATGTCCAATCTAGTCGCCTCATTACAAGATCCATAGACCTATACAGGGTGTATAATTTAAGTGATACCGGAGGTGATACCACTATTTCTATATCCGAAACGGTAAGAGCTACAAGGTCAGTTAAATTGGAAAAAAGTTGCCTTTTTTGATGCCCATTTAAGATTTTTTTTACAGTGTTGCCAAATTCCTTTTAGTTTCTGAAATACAGGTTCATAACTAGGGCCGAATTAAGGTAAAATTTTGGTAAAAATCACTGATGATTACTTTTTAGATCCGAAACTCACCCAATCATACTTAAAAGGTATATCTTTGAAAAGGGGATAAAGGGTGCTTTCTAAAAATGACATAAAAAAATCAGGTCCATATTTAAAAATATGAAGTTGATGATGGTAGCTCAATCACGAAACGTCGGATTCAAAATTTGAAGATGCCATGTTGTAAAGCAAAAAAAATTATAAAACTTTCAAATTTGAATTGTGTTCCGAAAATTAATAGTTTTCGAAATAATTGATGAAATATTTTTAGACATTTCTTAGAAATCACCCTGTATTTCATAAACTAAAAGGAATTTGGCAACACTGCGAACGAGTCTTGAATGGGCATCAAAAAAGGCAACTTTTCTCTAATTTAATTGACCCTGTAAATTTCACCGTTTCGGATATAGCAATAGTGGTATCACTTAAAATATACACCCTGTATAATTGAAAAAATTCAAAAACAGTTTCTGAGATACATTGAATATAAATTAGGGATTTCTTATGAAAATATAAATTTTGATGACTTACATTTTTTGAGCTTACATCGATTATTAAATTTACAAAAGTTGGGAACAAGAAGAAATAGCAGTGACCTTTATACATTTTTCAAACTACTGAACATCTTAATTGGTTCATCCGAACTATTACAACTTTCATGTTCCTGCTAGAGATACTAGAAATACCTAATTGTTTCACATTGGTTATCATCGGACTAATTATGGGTTATACTTTATATTCTTCGATTTCGAAATTTAGTAGGTTGTCTAATGATTTGCCGGATGTCGAGTTTTTTAGTTTGACATTTGGTAGATTTAGAGACACTGTCACTAATTCACCAGAATGATTGATTCCATTGGGTTTGTTTATTGTGTTGAAGAGGTAAAATTGGTAAACTCTTGGTAAGAATGGAAACTTTACAGTCAATTTTTTTTGTGCATTCAAGAATTGTCTAGCAGGCGACTTGAACATTAATTGTCATGACAAGGCATCAGTGAATGTTTGAAATCACAAGAATTGGTTTGTCTGTTTTAATATTATTATGTTAGTTAGAGTCCGCGTCAGCAGTAAAGACTACAGTGACGAAATAAAAAGCTGCGCGAAGCGGGTCGGATCTCTCTCCCTTGTCTATCTCTCGCTGACTGCCGTGACCTCGGCCGTGAGCTGAAACCAGCAGCGGGGTATCTTTTTAGACAAAACTTGGATACAAAATAAACTAAATAAATATGCCTGCAAAATTGGGTTTGTGCGCAAATGACGTCACCGTACTCTTTTCTTTTGACGCGGACTCTAAGTACCCTACTCGTGTAACAAATGTTTCCAGCACCATTATAGATTATTTTTGTACAAACTTTGCTAAATGATTTATTTATTTATTTATTTATGGTATGATGAACAGTATAATGTATCTGTAATATCTGGGTTTGTTAGATCATACCCTTAATTAGAAAAAATGTTTCAAAATATGGTAGAAGTGCCAGAAATTTTAGCAATTTTAAAGCCAAGACTGGTGTGGTTGATTGGCAGTGATTATTGCACGGTTCAGACCCTCTAAATTGTTTTAGTTGTACATTAGTTAATATATTTAATAACGATTTTCCAATGAAAAAAATAAGAAAAAATGATGTGGGTTACTTAAGGAACTTAAAATTAACTTAGGATGCCCCCACTTGTTAAGAAAATACTCATCCTTGGCTCAAACGTGTTAAATACATATTATTGCTCTATTTCCGAAAATATTATTAAGAAAATAAATTCGAAAGTGGATCCATTATTGTTTTTTCATGGTGTATCTGTTTCTGAAACATTTTATTTTTACCACACCGATGTAAAGTGAGCTAATTCACTTGTTGAAGCTATTAATGAGTCATTTGATTTGGGTATTTTCCCCTCTTGTCCTAGAACTGGTTTAGTGAGGCCTCTGTTTGGAGGTATGGACATACAGGATCCATTATGTTACTGTGCTATATCCATACTGCCTACACTTTTAAAGATAATAGAAAAACTAGTAAAGATGAGAATGATGTCATTTATTGAGAGACTATAGTATATATTGCAGTAAATTATTAATGCCCTAGAATATTTTGAACAACGTATTTGTGTGGAATCATTGCAAAGATTATTTGAAATTTTGAAAAGAGGCCACCATAATGGCCATATGTTAGAACATAAAGGGCTGAAAATATCTACCTATAACCTAAATAATAATTGATGGCAGTTTACACAAAAACTAGCATCAGTAACTGATAATATCCTAAACAAAATAAGGGCAAATTTAACTCACATCATTCTCGTTATTGGGCTTTATTTCTTGCAAAACTCTTCTCGTTCTGGGGCTGGCCATTTTCCTAATTAATTTCCCCTAGCTCCTGGTGAACCCACAGCCGATATTATTGAGAATACATCTAGATGAACACTACAAGTATTTGTTTCTTTTGAAATTTAATTTGCATTAATTTATTTAAAAGGAAAACATTGGAAAACAAGGAAATTTTAAAGGGATGAAAATCTCTTGACGTGGAAAGACGATTTTTTTAATTTTTTTTTGACATCTGACACTGACATCAGTGACATTTTAAGTGCGTTCGAAATCACCCTTTGAGGTGCTTTCCAGTGACCCATTTGAGTTACTCCTGAGCAGCTCAGGAGTGCTCCACAATTGCTTTGCGCGTTAGAGTGTCGTACACTTGAGCTACTCATTTCTGTTATCCCCTGCCCCCTCGTGCACCAACCCTTTTGTATGTGTTTCATGCTCCTGAAATTCGAAATGGTGGGGGTTAAGACGAGAGCGTTCCAGTGTTGCTTATGTCGAACAGTTCAAGAGCGTCACACTTCAGGAGCATGATACTCTAACAATTTAGGCACTGGAAAGCGGCTCTTGGCGTCACACAGAGTGCACACCAGCCATTTATAATTCAGAGCTGGTGTGCACTCGGTGTGAATAAAAGAAAGCGCCCAAACTTAACAAAAAATACAACTTGAAATAAAGTGCAAAATTAAAATTCTAGATTTTATTCATTAAGTTTATTTCTATCAATTAGGTGTTATTATTGAATAAGGATTGATTTGTACAATTAATTATCAGATAAAATCATTTTTTTTTTTCACAGGAACCTGTAATTGTTAAATGTCAATGAAAAAACATAGGTGGCTGACTGTCGTTTAATGTCATAAGAAACCGGGCTTGGAGGCAGAAAAGAAGAAAGCTAAAAAAACATAACCTCAAAATTTCTCTAAATTTTTTCCTTGCTCCGATTTTCATATGGTTTTTCCAGTTTTTTCAATTTTTGTGAAAAATTAACAACATATACAACTGTTGAGTCTGAAACAATCAAAAATGGTAAGTTTTAGACCCTTTTTTTAGCCCTAGCTTAATAGCAACCCTTGTAAAACCCTGACCTGTCTATACTGTTAACCGAGCTGTTAACTTAAATAGTAGTGTGTTTAGGAACCTTGGTATTTGTGTGTGATTATTAGAAATGAAACGGACATACGGAGAATACGGATATAATCCGACTTAAATTTAATGTCCGGCAGGATACAGGATGCCAAACAGTAGCTGCATATTTCAGCCAAACATTTATCCGTTTGTTTCATCACTAGTGATTATGTTATTGGGAAGATATAAAGTTTTGTCTCTAAATACATTAGAATATAGGGATCCCTAGAATATGAAATAAAAGAAATTTTCCTAATTTAGAAAAAAGTTATCTTTTTGTGTACTAATTTTAATAACATAGTTCCATGAACCTCAAATTGAACTAAAAAATCGAAATTTAAATTTGTGGATACATAATTTGAACTCAAAAATTAAACTGTGGCAGAAGTTGAGCAACTTTCAACTGAAAAATTAATTCAATTTGCCGCCTCTACACCATTTCAACCTCAATTTCGGAAAAAGTAACTTTTATTTAGTTATTTTCGGAAAAAGTCAAATCAATTTCAGAATTTTTTGATTTTCGAAATAGATAAATGACTCAATCAATTCAAATTATTCTTTAAAAAATAACATTACTTTCTCCGTAATTCAATGTATTTTTTCCGAATTTGAATTCACTTTTTCCGAATTTGAATTTACTTTTTCCGAAATTAACTTTACTTTTTCTATTGACCTTTTCAATTTAAAAACCTCTCTCTCTGGCATCAAACTGTCAGACGCCAAAAAAGTATGAAAACAATGGTTGACAGCCGTTGACAGTGGTTTGTAGACAATACTTTTGAAGGAAACTATTATCACAAAACATCCCCCCTTAGAAAGGTAAGTGCCGTGTTGAGAACCTGTCTATAAGTTTTCAGCGCCTCTAGTGACTGGGGGGGTAAGCTTTTGTAATTCTGGATTTATTGGCGAATGCAAAACGCAATTAGGGTTCGTTCGGTATCTTATTCGTTCCGGTGGATCGTTTGCACCATTGTTTGATTCTAGCGATTCAACACCACCACTTTAAAGTTTCTACCATTTTTTGGCATAAAATAATTGTGCCAAAAAGAAGAAACTCATAAAATCGGTAGTGTTGAAGCGCCTTCAAGGTAAAATTGACTAAGAATTAAGATAACAAATTTAGATATTTATTAAAGTTTGAAACAGAAAATATTAAAGAATATGGAATTAATTACAATTTATGCGAAACAGTTTTTTTTTCATGTAAATACATACATAGGTAGGTAATGCTAGTTAAGTTAAAGATAATAAGGACAGTTACAAGAAGTAATGACGTACATTTAACAATAGCTTGATGAAAAACTTAAATCGTAAATAAAATGACAAAAGAGGTCCTTTTCTCACAATCCAAAATCGTTGTTAACCTAACAAGTGAGGAAAGTGTTTCTGCACGTGATGGAAGTTGCAAGAATGACAACAAAAAGCAGAGTTCGGACAAGCCTTTAAGTCCAGAAAACACACTTTCCGCGTGTGTTAGGTAGAAAGTTTATGTAGTTATACATAATATAAAGCTCATTCAAGAAAATGATTTCGCCTGGATGATAGAATAAATATTTTTGATAATAGTCTATACCCTTTACCACTAGCTTTAAGCAAAGACAACGCCAACAACTTCTCGTTCAATGTAAATCGTCTAGCTTTAGGCTTTTGGTTTTGAGTACGGACTTGGCTTAAAATAAAGCTGTATATCAATGGATTGACGTGGTCTACGAGCCTTTGAAATTTGGTTTATGATGCAAGTAATTCAGCAGCAGAAACTTTGGATTTAAATGACGACAACCTTCTACTGATTCTTCTTAACTTATTGCTGGATTCTATAACTTTGGAATAAAGATATTTTTCCCTTGGGGATAGGAATTTTTTGCCTAGTGACGTTAATGTTCTTTAAAATTTGGCATCGTCTCTCATGACCTGCAAAAAAAAAATAGATCAAGATTGGAGACGAGCTTTTCGCACATTTAGCTTCTAATTTTTCTAGCATTCCACTGCAAGTTTTAGTAATTAGTAGTCTTTTATAGTAGTAGTCCTAGTTAGGATGTTTTAAAATTCACCTACTCCCAACTGGGTGGTTATTCATTAAGCAATAACACTTAGGTACCTACCAATAAAAGTTTTAAGAGACAAAGTTGGTTGCTGACTTTTTCATGTTTGTAGATGTGATGGTTCCACTTGGTGTAGCAATGTCTGCCCGAATTGCAGAAGTTTCAGTAGATAAAAATTGACGACATGAAGGGCCTGGTTGATCTAAAACAGAAATTTCGTTAACAATGATTCTACCAAAAAAGTTTGGATACACACATTGTAGAATATGGTGTACCTGTATGTAACCAGGAATATTTTAATTATTGTGTCTCCTGATAAAGGAATAAACATTTAAAAAAAAGAAATGAATAATATTAGCTTTGTTCCAACACAGCAGAAAACCGTACAATGTACCGTCACGATTCTGCGCAGAAACTAAAATTGTTATACTGAGTGGTTTCGAAACCGTTCATGGGACGATTTTTTGACGTGTTGGAACAGAGTTATTATGTTTACCTACCTATGTCAATCATAGTTGCGAAACTAATTTCTGAAGGCGTCTTAGGACTCTTCGACGAGTTTCAACTGTGTCGATCTCCACTTTTTGCCATTTTGGTGATTGTGGTTTATCAATTAACGACTCCTCACTGTTTTTGATAATTGCGGCTAAAATTGAAATTAATTTTAATGTTTCTGACCTATGCCCCTTTAAACCTGAATTCTAACACGTTGTCGTTAATCAGAACTATGGGGAGGAGTAAGTGAAAATGTAAGTACGTCTTTCTCACATATATCTAGTATTAACTTACCTTCAGGGAGATACAGCAAAAGCGCAGCATTCCATGTGAGTCCTCGTCTGCCTTTTGGATCGCCAACAATAAATTCTCGACGAAAATGTCTTGTTCACACTCTATAATTATTATAAGCCTTCTCGACACTGAGGCTATTTAGTAAAGGATTGCGAACTTTTTCTAGCCATTGTTTAATTTTTTCGGCATCTTTTGGAAACCGGAAATAGCTGCTGTATTTGTCACCGCACCCCGGAACACAGCATTTCTGATGCTTTTCAATTAACAAACTGGGAGAAGACATTTTGAGATAATAATTATTGATAATTGATAGGTAATTGATAATTCTAAATGTTGGGAGAAGTTCAAAATTTAAATTTTGACGACTGGAAATGACAAAATAAACTTCAAATCTTGGCGAACGGGCCGGCAGGAAAAAGAAAACTTTAATAGGTTGATTGAAGCGCCTCTAGTGATTGGAGGGGAAAGCTGAAACGACTAGACTGACGTCTCTCATAAGACTTACATTTCTAAGGGGGGATGTTTTGTGACTATTATTTCCTCGGTGTTTTCAAGGTTTTTTCCTAACAATGGTGATTGTGTGTAGTGTGCCTATTGATAAAAATAATTCCTATTCACTGGCGGACGTGTCTTTCCATAAGTTTCTATCAAATCCTACATTTGTCAAAATTTGGATACACAAAATCAGAAAGGATACCCACAAAAGAAAGGGAAATCCACGGCTCATCAAGTATACAAAGTAATCCACATCCAAGTTTAGTTGGCAGAAGCTGTCTGCTTCCAAAATAATCCACCACCGTCTCCAAAGCGAAGTTATCCGAATGAAGTAGTGACTTTTCCCACAGTTTCTTTCCAATTTCAAACCCTGCGTTTTTATTCATATCAAATTTTTCCGATGGATCCATCATTCTATGTCGGTCATTGTCACTTTCCATTCACTTGACAAAGATAGCTAACTCATCGGTGAAGTCAAAGATTCGAATAAAAACGAGGGGATTGCTAACCACCCAATACACATTGACATTGACAAGCAAGCAAGTGTTGGCGGGAAAATTAATGTTTTCATAATTATCGTCTATCTCTTTTAATTGACCTTTTCAATTTAAAAGCCTCTCTCTCTGGCGTCAAACTGTCAGACGCCAAAAGAGTATGAAAACAACGGTTGACAGCCGCTGACAGTGGTTTGTTGACACACAAAACATCCCCCCTTAGAAAGGTAAGTGCCGTGTTGAGAACCTGTCTATAAGCTTTCAGCGCATCTAGTGACTGGGGGGGTCAGCTTTTGTAATTCTGGATTTATTGGCGAATGCAAAACGCAATTAGGGTTCGTTCGGTATCTTATTCGTTCCGGTGGATCGTTTGCACCATTGTTTGATTCTAGCGATTCAACAACACCACTTTAAAGTTTCTACCATTTTTTGGCATAAAATAATTGTGCCAAAAAGAAGAAACTCATAAAATCGGTAGTGTTGAAGCGCCTTCAAAGTAAAATTGACTAAGAAATAAGATGACAAATTTAGATATTTATTAAAGTTTGAAACAGAAAATATAATAGAATATGGAATTAATTACAATTATTGCGAAACAGTTTTTTTTCATGTAAGTATACATACATAGGTAGGTAATGCTAGTTAAGTTAAAGATAACCAACCTAACAAGTGAGGAAAGTGTTTCTGCACGTGATGAAAGTTGCACGAATGACAACAAAAAGCAGAGTTCGGACAAGCCTTTGAGTCCAGAAAATACACTTTCCGCATGTGTTAGGTAGAAAGTTTATGTAGTTATACATAATATAAAGCTCATTCAAGAAACTGATTTCGCCTGGATGATAGAATAAATATTTTTGATAATAATCTATACCCTTTACCACTAGCTTTAAGCAAAGACAACGCCAACAAATTCTCGTCCAATGTAAATCGTCTAGCTTTAGGCTTTTGGTTTTGAGTACGGACTTGGCTTAAAATAAAGCTGTATGTCAATGGATTGACGTGGTCTACGAGCCTTTGAAATTTGTTTTATGATGCAAGTTATTCAGCAGCAAAAACTTTGGATTTAAATGACGACAACCTT